TTCGTAACCCCTCCGCTCTTTTTTCGTGTCATGTTCCCCCCCCCCCCTCCCCCCCCCTCCTGAAACGAAGAGGTGAACTAGTCAACTGGGCAACAGCATGCCCTTCTGTGAAATTATTTCCTTTTTTTTTTTGAAAACCTCATGCACTAACGTGACAGTGATTGAAAAGATTGAAGACGAAATGTTGCTGATGTTGCCTACAGACTATCAGCTAGTGTTCTTCCAGTTCTACCAGTCGTGCCACATTTATTGAAGTTCTGCCTTCATCCTAACATTCCTAAGCTTACAGCGCCCTTCCCCACTGCATTTGTCCTCCGTAATAATTATCCCCCAAAGAAAAGGAAGTTACTCATGCGCCTTAACGAGTGTTTCACGCGAAAATGCATTCAATTAATTACGCGCCTGTTGTTCAGGCTATACTCGTGGTATTAGCCACGCGCAAACCCTCTACACTTTTTAAATGTCCAACGTGTTCTACTCCTCTCGCTACTTCAGCGTAGACATCTGGTTGTGCGTTGTTCAGGTTGTCAGTTAGGAATTTACTAATCTTTAGTGACTAGGCGCAGCTTGGTAGCGGTTCTTCCAAGTCTTCTGCTGCCCAGTCACGTCCACACGTCACGATCTTTGCGTTGTTCTGTTTACCCACATGTACAACTCCTCTTGCAGTTACCAGTTCTTCATCCTCAGCTCCTTCCTGCCCAAAACAACTACGCCTTTCGTTGTGGCCTGCTTAAGTCGACCAAATCAGTCCACCTAATGCTTTTTCCCCTTTGGACTCTCCACTTTTTTGAGTACGTCTGTCCAATATGATCAGTTTCTCTTGAATTTGCATAAATTGTGTATAGCTATCCAAGTGTTAGTGCGATTATTTAAAAAGGACATTTGCGTGGTTTGGTTGACGCTGAAAAAGCAATTCATTCCTTTTATTTACTATTGCTTTCTTCTGGGGTACAGTGTGCCAACCACAGTCTTGAAAATGATCAAATTGACTGGCCTGCCATTTGGTTTAATAATACCTCTCGTCAGTTCTTCTGACTTTCTGAATTCAACTTCCACGCTAACAATCACATGGTAGAATTTATTCCTTAAAATTTTCCTCGTAATGGCAACAAAATGCGTAATTAGTGCCTTCACTTCATTGGTTAATGTCTATTAGCTCTTGAATACTTCCATTCCATTGGAAGTTGGGGAAATGTTTGCCAGTTTTTGTACCCCAGACTTCAAAAACCCACGAGCTTTTTGTCCACTTCCACCGCTATCCTCCAAAAGACCTCCACGAGTGCGCTGCACCTCCTTCCAAACATTCCCATTGACCAGCAACCTTGTCTTACATTCGTCGCATTTGTCTCATACTTCGTAGTTCCCTAACGTGTTGTGAGATTTTAGAAAAATTATTTGACTGGACAAGCTGGTGCACAAACTTATTTAGCATCTTCATTTTCTCTATGCTTCCTCCTCCCCTTGCATCCTACATGTTGTCTGGAGTAATGCTAGCCCTTTGCCAGTTCTTTTTTGACAGTTTGTGAAGTACTGGTTGTTGAACCTTGATATCGACCTGCCAATGATGTGCATATGATGCAATTCTTAGAGCTAGTCACGTAGGTTATCGTAATTAAGCGAATTCGGTTGCTCATTTGAGTTAGTTCGACTGTTCTTTTGTTCTTTTTTTACCGCAATTTCCGCAGCGCAGTTGCGCAACTCAATTTTTAACCGTCTGCTACGATGTGTGCGTGGCTAGGCAGTTTTCATCGGTGAACTACACTTGACCAACAAGTTCTTGCCACGCCCGTCTTGTCACTCCCTTCGTTTCACTACTGCTCTGGCATCGCCTGTTCTTTTCTGACGGCCACTTCTGACATCAGCGAGCATCACGTCATCGGTTAGACCACGAGTTCTCATTCAAACGCATGGGATTTCACAAAGTGTGTTGAGAAAATGCAGTGCTTTCCAGATGCTGGCAGACCCCAACGCAGAATCACAGCACGCAACCGGGTGTATCTGAATTCCGAACAGTAGTGAAGTTGCGTGGCTTTTCCACTAGCAGCTGTTGATCAGTCAAACACGACAATTACCAATGAAATCGTTTTGTCCCCAAAGTCAGCTGAATCATTCAACATCGGCCTTTTTTCCAGTCATGCACCACCTTGATTACTAAGTGACGGATGGGGCACGCGGAAATCTACCGGACTTCTTGTTCTGTCTCCTTCCGGCGTTTTGGTTTTTCGCTTCCAGCCGAACGGTGTTTTGTGTGCTGAATCGATTAAATCAAAGCAATGCGATAAATCTGAAGTGTGAGAATCGGTTGGCGCGTAACGCCTTCTCGTTTAATACAATTCGACATCAGCCTCTTGGCTACTGATTGAAGGTGGACAAGCTAGGTTTTGGCCGTCCTTTGTGCGTCTTATGTGTGCGATGCACCTGAATGGGGACAATGCCTGCCATACGCGCCCACTTTTAGCAGTTTTTGACTGCACATCAAAATCAGTACTGGAGTAAACGTCAGTCAGTATTCGGTAGATGCGCGTGCTTACTACTTTTTTTCTAAATTCTGGTGAACACCTGGATGCCATTTATTGCCATCTGGAGGACTGCATTGTAGGCGCTTCTAATCACGTATGGTACCTCAGGTTAGCCATCACACGACTTTGTTTCATTTTTGGAAGGTTCTGGGTAATTGTGGAAATTGTTTTTTAAGCGCGCGTGTGTGTGTTTTAATGAAAAAAATGGTGATGGAGCTAGTTAACCGTTCTAATGAAACGCTACAACTTCTGCTCACTCCACTAATCATGCGACATTAGTGTGTGTGCGAGTTGTTTGACAAGCGGTAATGGTGGAGACTTTGGCAGGCCTCTGTGCAGTATTTGTGCGCATTTGACTCCTTACTCTGAGTTTATCTTCATCTTGCTTCGATGCTCACTCAAGATGAGTTTGCTGTTCTTTCAAATTATATATCAATCAAACCATACGGACGGTAAAAGCAACTGATCCTTTTAAACCAAAGATTGAAAATCTGGAGTAATTATTCCACCAAATCTGCATTTGCTTCTAACCGAACAGTTTGGTACAACGTTAAATTTCATTGGATCACGTAGGCTCTCACAAACATCATTGCATTGTCGTTAATTGGCTCAGTCTACCATCGATCTGACTGTTGGTTTATGTGTCACGAGTAATGCGTGTTTATTAAACAGAATTCGACGAATTTTACTAACCAACGCATCAAAGGTCGATTTAAGCGCAGTGAGCTCAAATTACAGTGCATTTTACTTCCATGTTACAAACTTGATCTTTTTGATCTACCAGTCATCACCCTAGACCTTAAAATGAACCCATTTACGGGGATTCGGTTTCATCCATGCAGTTCGAATTAAACCAGTGGGTAAATTTAATGAGACTTGATAATTCCTTCCCAGCACGCCATTTCTAGGCGCCGACCGCTTATTGCGCGTCGTATATGCATTATTTCGGAAGGCGAATAAGCTCAAACAATGAGTAGCCAGTGTGTGAAGACGTCGTACAGCGTAATGCTGTGGCGAGCAGTCTGCTACTGCATAATCGAGCGGAAGCCTACGTACTTGATTTCTTTATTAAATTTGAGTTTGGCCTTTCAACTGGCTTGGCTTTTCTTCTCCAGCGAGAGCCGTCACGATTGGCTGAATTGGAATTTATGATTTACGTTAGTGCATAATGTAGGCTTATAAAGATCGCCATTTCGATAACCACAGACGTCACTGGAGTAGGATGAAGCTAAAAGTGTTGCTGATCGTGCTCGAGCGCCTTCGTAGATGAGAGGCACCTGCGCTTGCCACAATAAATTGCTGTCCAATCGTTTGACTGCCAGGATAATGAGTCTCCAATGTGTAGTTACCATCTTAAACTATATATTCTACTTCCTTATTTTTGCATCGAATCATATTCTTAACCGACTACTGGTTTTGACGTAACTCATACTTTCGTGGCTACCACATCGACCGCCATTACAGCTGATCTAACCTAATCGGTTTGAGGCAATAATGCGAGGATTATCACCGCAGTGAAAAGTGGGGGTTTGGAACGCTAAGCCCTTTTATTAATTCATCGTCTACTGTGCTAAGGTAGGCGATGGGAGGTAGGTGCATTAGCACCACTCGCGTGATGAAGCGATAGGAATGTGACTGCCTTTGTCTTGTCGGTGCAACATCAATAATAGGGTGAGGCTCAGTCGTAATGAAATTACCGCACCAACGCACACTGTTTTGCAAAAGTAAAGCACAAACGGTTTGAGCATATTAATGCTCGCATGAGCAACGATTCAGAGCTCCTGCGGTGGTCTTTTTATGAATGCCATATCTGGAGTTTTAGACACCATTGAGCCCATCTCAGAGTTGTTAATTTCGCCCAACTGTATCGCACTTTCCAAGACTCCAAATCAACCCGACTGCTGTGTGCTAAGTGGCAGTGTATGTGACTCTTCTAGAGCACTCTTGTGGGGACTCGAACTCACTACTTTATGCACTTTTTAATAACAGACCACAAAGGCTGAGTTGATTGCTTGTAGGTCGGTCCCACAGTAACCAATTACGAGGTTGATCTCGTCTCGGTGCATTTAATTCCCGGATGCGTTTGATTGCTTAATCCGGGAAACGCAAACTCAGCTGCCCAGGTCTGTCAAAATTTTATCACACTAACTCCAACTTTTCTTTTCACACCACTTAACTGTAAAACTAAATGGTGACATTCGGTGTTCTTAAGTGGTAATGATTCTTTTTACTGCATTGTACTGTTGTGTATTTAGACGCTTAGAGCATAATGCTTTGTTTTGATCACTGTACTGCATTGTTACCATTCGGTTCCCTCTAACGACTAGTCTGTCGTCTCAGCTGCCATTGTCCACACTAATTTAAGAAATTTTTCTGGATTATTGTTTACGCCACACAGGAGTAACTGTCCATCGTGTTCACTGCATTGTTAGATTGCTTTTGGACCAAAAACCCATGATTCCTTTTAAAATAGTCTTTCAGGTGTTCTGCGTTGTCGAAACGCTCTACATGTCCCATTTATCATCTCTTTATTGTCGTGGGTATTCGGTGTAGTAATTATTTGTTTCCACGTCCGGTGTGCCACTTTCGGTGGGTTGTACCATCTAATCAACCTACGGTTCTACCAAGCATTTGTTGTGGTCTTGAACCACGTCGGGGCCACGGAATTAACCCTGACCCGATTACGTTCCCCTGATACCCGCGATGAAGAAAAAGATCGGAGAGGGCGTGAACACAACCGTTTACTTCCGAGCTCAACCACGGTGGTGTCGTGTCCTGCATGGGGTTTGCGGGTGTGTATTTATACCTCGGATGTGTGAGCCATACATGCGCTAAAATCAAGACCTAGTTGTGAGGATAATCCAAATATCCGTGTGAATGAGGGTGGAGTTGAGGATCCGTGCGGCTGCCGACTTGCTGCGAAAAGAGGAACTCCGTATCGGAGAATGGAGCAACCTGATTAAGGGGCATGAACAAACACGATTCACAACACGTTTAATACGTGTATTGATGATAATACACAATCGCCAATTGAGTGTCATTTTGCGTGAACACATTAGAAGTCGTCTCCGACATTCCGATGATTTCGTGGTTGTCCCTTTCTGTAACCTTCTGCCTTAGTTTCTGGCCGAATGCCTCTTCCGGGCTGGTTACTTGAAGCGTCGACTTCAGCTATGTGTTCGCCTAGCATACTTCACTTTGTCACTGTACAGACTGTAGCATTCTTTTTTATTACGCCTATAATCTCAGGAGTCTGCTGCTTCCGAAGTCTGAGACTCGGATACAGGCAGGCGTATTGTCTCCGGATCAAAATTTTATGAGATATTTTGGTATGTGTGTTCAGTATCCGGTAGTATTTGGCGCATTATATTTGCATGATGTGTGTCGTCGTTAGCCTAGCTGCTGCGTCCACTTTAACCCAAGACTGATGTGAATTTGATTAAAGTAAGTCCTACGAATCATCTCGTGTCATTGAAAGTCGCTTCCAGTCTGTCCACACAATTGCAACGCCCTTTTCCAGGTCGTAATGGGGGCTTTGCGTTGTCTGGATTCGATCGACGTCTCTCACACGTGAAGCTTATTGCTCGGGCTGGTCACACGTAAGGGGAATGTCGAATTCCTCCCCACCCCAAAGTCACGTCCTCTTTCATGTCTGTTGTTGTTGTTGTGCCATAGGATGGCCTCTCCGCCGGCGGTTGGCGGCGCATCGACCGGTGGCCACTCGCCGGGCCCCATGCGGGTACACTCGCAGTCCCCACCGCCGCCTCGGCAGTTGCTGGCGCGCGACCACCGCCACAGACAGCCAGCCCCGGCGCCCCACATCTCCCCCGTGGCCGAACGACGACGCAACCCCAGCCCTCGGCAACAGCACCAGCAAACGCCCTCTTCTCACAGCGCCTCCCCTGCACTCTCTAACAGCCCAAGTAAGTCATTAATTGATGGCAATTGACCCAGGCCTTTGAGATGCTGGCTTGGCGGGAACGGGGTGCTTCAGGAGCCATGTTACCCGAGTCCTGACTTGGTTTCATTGGAACTTCAACGATAGCAGCCTGATTGATGGATCAGCCGAGTTAAGTGGTCACTACTAATTGACTCAGTTGTGCACGCGCTTTCACCCCAACTGTTAATTGATCTGTCGAAATTGAACTTTAGATGCTACGTGTATTTCAGGAGTCTTCGTCACCCAGCTTTTGTTCTAGAGGGGGGTTGTTGCCATGATAAACAGCTGTTCCATTCCCCTTCTTACACACCGCATCGCCTGTTAACTGTTCTGCTTTCCTTGTAAGTTGTGCTGGTTAGCTACATTGGTTGAACAGGATTTCACTAAGTGCCAGGACTCAATCTACAATAGTCCACGCGTTTTCGTGCTGGGGATATTAACGAAAAATGCGTTGATAAGATTTAAAGCAAAATATGAGGAGGCGGTTATTTGCCAAGCAACCTCTCAGTACTCTGCGTTCTCCTGCATTCGCCGCATCTCTACTTTTTTGTCTGTAACCGTCAGTTATAATCATGATCTCGACATTGCTTTTTCTTTCACGGTAGCGGTTGCTATTTTGCCTTTTTTTCCATTACCTAGATTGCCTAATTGAACACGAAGCTCAACTTTGTGCTTGAAAGCCTTTCTTGTAACAATATTGCACCACTTTGGAGCAATCAGTGCTAAAATGGTAGTTAAGAGTAGGCTGGGAATCATATCAACACAGCCCATCCACGAATCACAGCAGGCATGCTGCATGCAAGCATTTCCTATGTGCAGGTGATGGAATGAAAGCACGTTACCGGTGCGATGTGGTGCGTAAACATGTTGGAAGAAACGCGAGTCATTGTCACACACATGCTGCCGCAATTCTGCCTGCTTTTGCACAAGATGACAGCTCAGTGCATTGGTCTGTGAAATCTCAAGCGTAGCAGGGTGGCACGAAACTCGCAATTTTTCTTTTAATGCGTGCACAAGGCCAAATCATTGGAATGTGTTTCTTGTTATCTTCCTTGGGCCTCATTAATGGTCTTATGTAAGAATTTCAACATGTCATTCGCGTTTGATGGAACTTCTGAGGCCAGGTCAACGTTTTATTGGCTGTTAAGTCATGTAATTCAACGTGGGCAGCCACCTGAGCCTTAACCTGACTCTCAATTGTGCAGCAACACGGCTGGTTAAATAGAAGTAAACTAAATGAAACATTTTTTAAGACTTTGGGACAGCGCAAACATTTCCTTTCTCCCCACTCGACGCATTTGGCTGCTTTACTCGAAAAATTTCACTATTATATTGTCCATGGTTGGCCAGCCTTCCATAACGAATGCTTCGTTTGGCCAATGACGGTTCTTCGTAACATTTTGCGCTAATCTTGCTATGCTGGCGTCCTTTGCGACTTCGTTTTCCGCATCTTAATCAACTGACTTTGCATGGGTTTTATTTGGCGAATGTTTGAGCTGGAGAATTATCTGCTCGGGATACTCCCTGCAGAATATGAATATTGATTCTGCTAGCTGTTAGTTTCTTGTATGTACTCGCTGCGTTTGACCTACTCTCTTAAGTTTTCGCACCTATACCTATCCGCGTCTTTTCCATTTCTGATGCCCACAATTTCAAATACTTTACGTTGATTAAGTGAAGATGCCTTGTGTGTGTGCGAATGTAACAATCGCGCTCCGTCGGATTGTGTATTTGCCAAAAGATGCGTAATTTTAAATCGCAAACTTTGAAGTTGGTTTAAACGCGAGTATTTGGTTACTTCTTGCGACTCATGTGAGGTGGGTCGGTGTCGTCACTTGTGTAGCAGCGAAGTCGAACTGACGAAGGTAGCCCTCACTTTTATCTTTCCTCCGCACCAACTTAAAGGCCAAGTGAAAAAGGCCGGTGTGTTTATCGTTTCTGTCAATTGCACCGGTTGTCCCTTCTCTTTTTTTCCGGAAGTCATGCTGTCATTCAAGTTACCCTCTTTTTCTCGTTATGCCTACACATTCATATCCTTATCTGCATGGGGGAAGAATGTATTTTTTAAGGTTTAGTTCCAGCAACGCTTTGACTATGATTCAAACGCTTTTGACCACATCCAAATAGCTCGTCAGAAGTCCAAAAACAGATGGCTTCAAATTGAACACGCCGGTAACCTGAAGGCACAAGAAGTGACTTTCAACTGGTTTGAGGTTGGTGGCGATGCGTCGTCGTGTTTCCGGCCGCTTCACACCAACAGCGGTTCCAGTTGCTTCCATCAACTTGGACTAAGCACACGACTCTGAATTAATTCCATGCACTTGAGAATAAATTTTGCTGCGAGAAACATGTGTTAGTTGTTAGCCTTGACTAATCTATTCTTGTTTCCTCATGGGGAGTCTTTTGCAGTCGTTGTTCACAAGCTCCAACATTTAATGATGATGACAAGTGACGGCACTTGGAGAATTTTTTAGTTCCTTCATTGGCATTTGTCGCGACAATGGGTCTTCCCAGAGCATGTCAGTTTCAAAAACACCGGTACCGCTTACATTGAAACCGGTTTCATACCTCGCATTGGTTCCAATTACCACACCCTTCCTCATCATTTATCTTCTTCTGCTACTACCCATAGAATTCGTATCGCCTAAATCTCCCTGATTGTTCTTCTTACTCCTCGCGATTCCTTTAAGCTCTAAAAAGCATGGTAATAGGTGACCGGGATATGTGGGAGGCAGAAACGATCAAATTAAATATAGTAGCTTCGTGTTAACAGTGTCCAAAAGTTTGTAAGGAGCCAGTGTACACCTTGGGAACAATACGCTTGAAAATAAAGACGAGGTCCTATCCACGATAGCATTTAATGCCACTGTTGTTAATTGCCGCCGAAAAGAATCTTTGGATTGTTTTACGTAAACTATCTTACCTTTGGAGGCGCCGTTTCGGTGTCGCATAAGTACACAAAGGAGTGCGCGGGCATAAAGCTTTGTTTTTAGATCTTCGGCTCCACCTGTTTGTATACGGTCTGTCCACAGACCCACTGTCTCATTATGGAAATAAATGGTCATACTGTACTTCGGCTGAACTTCAAAGTTTGCTTTCCACGTCAGTTATGTTCATCTTTTCTCCGATGATACATTTGTAGTTTACTTCGGTCATGATCACACTATTCATCCCTTCAATAGCCCGAAGCTTCAGGTGAGATTTCAGCGTTTGTGGTATGTTTTCAGTCGATGCATACCCTTCTTAGGAATGTGGACCGGTTCGTCAGACGTGTAAAAAAACTTGCAATAATTTTTCCGGATTTTAGTCTTTAAGTTGCTCTTTCTCTACCCCCATTTCATTCTCCTTCCACCAACAAAAACAGTCTGAAATGTCCTCCGTCTGTGTACTTTTCGGGTTGCTTTTGCAGCAGAGGCGGGCTCTTTGTCGGGGTGGAGTCGTAAGTTTTCGTCAAAAGGAAATCAGTCAGACGTGTAGAGGCGTTTGGCATTGCATGGGAACAACTGAATTTTAAGATAGGAAGCTTGCCTCACGGCAGCCAAGTTGGCTTCTAAAGTTCGTTTTCACTTGCTCATGGCGGTGTGTTGACCTAAGTCTACACACATGACCCCGAGAACGGTGGTAAGGTCAAAGGTGACGGAAGCACGTCAATTTATCGATCCACTAGGAGGATGTGCCCAAAATAGCCTTCGTATTTTAGTCAATCTGTCCAGTAGTGGTACGTCTTTCGTTGATTGAATCCAGCCCCCCCCCGCACCCGTCTAATTGTGCACCACGCCGAAATTCAATCGAGGTTGTGAATTGTCAGCTAGGTGATCAAGAGCTTGTTCAGTAGATCTCACAGACCAAACTAGTTGTTTTGCAACATGGTGTCATCTGCAGCATCGCCACTGTTACCACTGGATCGTTCATTAAAAGACTCTGAGCCCCCTGGCGCCTGAACATGATACCCTGCAGACTCCAAGCCCACGATATCGATTGATTTAGCCATCCAGTGGGATTGGCAGGCATCCCTAGAAGTTTCCAAGATATTCAATTCTAAACTACGCAGAAACTGCCCTCTTCTGTTGCATCACATCACCTTGCATCGGATTTTAGCCATGTTAACCTCCTCCTCCCCCGAGTTCCGTGTGTTCTTTTTTCAGCCCTCGTCATGGTTGCTTGCGGGTAACTTGCCAACGTGATCGCACAAAAAATCTGCGCGCCAGCTTGGTGTCTGGCTTGGCCGTCGTGGTTTTTGTTGCCCCCTAGGTGGGGGGTTGAGGATTCATGGTCATTCCACCTTGGTTTCACAGGAATGCTTAGTGGGTTCTGCGCGCGCGCATAATCAGCCATGGTACAGCGTGACACAGGCAGCCTATGTTTGACAATAACGTGGAAATCCTCCTTTACTCGTTTCTCGAGCTGCTTGTCTTCTTTGTGCTAGACCCAACAGCCATGACTTGCGTGTTATCGTCTTCTTGACTTGGTTTAAGCAAGCGTACCACTGTTGATACACTCTGGAAAGCAGTGGTCCACATGAGCTTAAGCGGTTCTTGGCTAGCGCGAACTCAACACTCAATACTCACTACACTGAATAGTGAGGTCAAAAAGACTATCGGTCTTCATACGACTCCTCATTAAAACTCAATAAGAAGACATTTACGCCAGAAATACCGTCAACACTGGGATTGCTATTTTGCGTAGTAATTTCGCTGGTAAAACGATGAACGTATGTGCGACCTTATGGTAATTCGGTGATGTCTCTCTATTGACTAAAATTTTGTACCAACTGAATTTCGATCTCCACAGTTGCATTGTTGGAAACGGCGATATTCAGGTGTAAGGACCGACATTGCTTGAGGGTAGCATTTTGTAGGTACACTTTCCTCTGGTTTATCGAATGATGGTCCATCAGTGCGTTTTTTCCCACAGTCGTTGTAACCCATTCAGCTTTGTTTTGTGAACGCAGTCATAAAATTTGTCCCTTGTGTACATTTATAGAAGGTGATGTTGCTCCCACATTATTATTCGTCTTTATTTATAGCCTGCAAAATGATCTATGGGTAGCACACTCATACAAAATTGGTGTTTGCACATTTTTCTTATCAGATCGCACACTATCCTAGTGTTTTTGCCCTCTGTAATTTTTGGTAAAAAGGAACATTGTGAATCAACAGGAAACCGTGAAACCCATGAGCGTCCTATCCTCCTCCTGTTGTCAAGTCCCTCTTCCGAAGTATCTGCTTCAGCCGACGGAATGTTACACGCGTTTTAAGGACAACTTGGCGTAAAATTGGAGAACTCGGTCATTTACGATTTCCCAATGTCACAAAAATGTGGTAAATGTGGAGGCAACGTTTTGACGGAAATGTAAACTGCTGCTGCCACTTTATTTGTAGAACTTGTGGAAAATTCTTTGCACAACAGACTGTTTAGCTATTTAGCTATTTATTTAATACTCAACCGGTTCAAATTGCCCTGAATCGCAGAATTTAACACTCAGCCGGTTCAAATTAATTGCTATACTCAACATTCCATCAATGTGATGTAGACGTCACCCACTTCAATGAAATTAGGCGGATGCTGCAAACAGAAGGTCTCTTCAATCGAGACAGAGAAAGAGTAGCTACGTAACCGAAGGCACCAAAATAACACCCAAGGCAGCGACCCACAATTATCTCTCCTGTGTTCTAAAGGCGTTTAGTCACGCTTTCGTGCGTGCACGTGTGAGTTTTGCTCGCCCCTGTACGGCTACAGTAACCGCTGCTGAAATGCCAGCACCACCGCCACCGCCACAACACTTCAACGCGTGCGCAAACACACTGCGCGCTTCTCGCTGCATCTCGCTCACACACACACACACACACACACACCTGCCTCTGAATCAGGCTGTTGAAGGAGGGGGTGGAGTTGCCTGACTAATCAACTCTTTCGATTATCATTTTCGCTGCCTCCATTGCGCATGTACACCATGACTCATTGCGGTGCGTGCGTTGCCACGCTTTTTTTCCGGGGAAGAATGCTTCCTGTTTTTTAGGTGCTCTTTTTTTGGAGAAAAAGTAGCATTGGTTTGCATGTTGTGGTGGTGGTGATAACTTGACAGCCAATTTATAGTCCTTCCTCCCCTGGTTGATAGGCAGGAAAGAGGAATATGTCTTTCCTACGTCTATTTTGATTTTCTCCGTTGTTGGTATGCAATAATGTTGCTTTTTGTCCCGCTGTTGACCTGAGTCAACTTCGCATTGCACCAACAGATGCACATCTGCATATGATGTCTGTTTGCGTCGGAATTTATACGTGGGCCATGCGTACAGATGGAATACCTTGCCTGGTAATAGGGCTAATCAACAACCGGCCAATCAGTGTTGGAGGGATGGGGAATTGTATGTGGTATTGCACTAAAATCACAGAACGACTCAAAAGATATTTGTTTCACAAACCCGTGCTTTAAGACGGTGCTATGGCTCTTACGCATTCTTGGTTGCTATAGGCCAGCGTTGCATCCTCGGGTTTCACAAATGCGAACATCTTGATAATATTTGCAACACACGACATAAAGTAGACTGTCTTCGAGTGGTGTGAACAGCCTTATCCAAGTTTGTGACTGAATAACTAGAGTATCGGAGACTAGAAGAAGCCTCATAGGCTACCGCATGGTCATGTGCGGGGATCTTGCCGTTTCCCACTTGAGGCACGCATTCCTCGTTGCCCCCCTCTTCCTCCCGGTTGTTATTTTCTCCCCGGGTGCATTTCCTCGTGGGTCATCTTCCGCTGGCATGATTCACAGCTGTTATTTTTAGTAAGTGCAGTGGTGTTGGCAGTAGCAAGGAGGGTGAACGCCATTCCATCTGCAATCCCCCCCACCCCACCTTCCCCACAGTGCTCTCGCCATCAGTTAAGAGTGGGCACACCCACTGGCAGTGGTCTGTTTCGAGGACTGGCTGCAAAGTGTGTGTGTGCGTGTGTGTGTGTGTAACAGGCTACGCTTGCAGGAGGGGGGACGCTAGCTCGGTTAATCTGGGGAACAGAGATTAGCTTGCAGGTCGGGTGGACCCCTAGATGCACATGTGAGTCATATCCACCTAAGTTGACATAAAAAAACCATTGGTTAACCGGCAGTGCATGTGGAGCAATCTTCTCCCACAACTCGTAAAACCGGAACTCATTTTATTGAGTGATCACATGCTGAATCAGAACGAATTTCATATCGAGGTTTTCGCCCCACTACGACTGATTTCGTGTTTCGCGAGGCCGCAAAAACGTCTTCAAACCACCCGACTGTATCTGGTGGCGCTTTCCTCCGTATTTCTCGAGTTTTTTAAATTATTCATTAACTATTTGACAGAAAAAGCAACGCTTCGTCTCCCGTCTACGCGCCGAATTTTGTCTTCTGCGCACTCTTAAAAATTTAATCAAAAGATCTTTTGCGCAGTGGCGAGAATGTGATGTTAAAACCACATCTGTGTCAAAAAATTTATGCCCACACTTACTTGATCCTCTGTGCCCATGGTAGTTGGGTGTGTCGGTTTCATTTACTATTTCCTACCGCCCGTAAGTGTCGTGCACTTCATATCGCTAACATGTTGCGTATTTTATCGTTCTACCACGCTGCCGAGTGTCGCTACACGGTAGCAAAATGGCAGGTAAACGAAGTAGCCAGGATTTCCTTGAATCAAATTTACAACTCAAAATTGAGCTTTTGTCTAATTAGAATTGTTGGTACTTTTGGACGAATGCTTCTTGCGTGTAGTGTTTTTGTCGCTTTTTTAAATGTCTCATATCATCATTGATGGGACTTGAGGTTCTTTGCTATTTATCCCTTAACCCCCTCCCTCACTAGCCGCCCCATGATTTACTCCAGCGCGAGTTTATTTCGGCACGTGACTTTACGGTGTGGGCAAACCTTGTGCGCTAAAAGTCACGTGCTGGGGACATCACAGTCAAGTGTTGTTTTTGGGCGAGCGTTTCGTCGGAAAGTGAGCTGCACCCGTCGACCGGTTTTCCAACATATCATCATTGCGTATCGTTAAATTTTGCTGCACCACCCGTCATTACAGGTCTAGTCTGGTTATCACGCCCTTGGCTGAAGTGGTGCTTCAAATGTAAACGTGATAGGGCAAAACACATAGTCTACAACTGAACCCGTGAAACCAACTGTTTTATATTAATGGAAAACATCGATACAAGACGACGCCTATATGTCAAGTCGATCGTTGTATTGTCATTGCATGCAAACAGCGGGTATATCACAGCTTGTACGAGCAAAAACTCGGGGCTACACTAAAACCACTAGTTTATTGTAGAAGAAGAAACTGAACTTTCTAAGTCAACACTATTTACCATTGGTAAAACTTGATTTGCCGATAAGGGGATGTCTTGTGGCATCAGAATCAACAAGAATTTAAATATGTGTATGGCCAGCGGGCACGGTGTGCTAACTATAACCGAAGACATCATTTAGGAGTGTGTGTATTTCGGAACGGTGCTCCTATTCACTAATCTAAATGTTTACACTGCAACTTAGAAACTGTTATTTCTAGGCCAATGTCGTAGGTGTGGCCTTTCCCGAAATTTCACTGACTAGTGATTTTTCTGTGATTGAGGACGCATTAAGATTTGAGGAGTTAGGAGGAGCTATTTTAAATTCGTCGAGGCTAGCTTTCCTTATTTTCTTATTTAAATTATTACTTCAACACCCAAATTAAATAGCTTCCAAATGGAAACTCCATCTATTTTATATACACACTTAAATCGAATTATAGATACTGTTAGCATTCTGATAATTGCAACTCACATTCCGCCAGAATCTTATTCGATATTAAATCTTTTATACGGTTTATTTAATTGCGCGGACACCGCGTCCACGAAAATTCTACTCCTCTTTTCGCGTAAAAATGCAGTTTATTTGTAAGGGCTAGCCTCAAAAACAGGTTATACACTTAAATGACAGATTTTTATTTCATGTCAGAGGATAACTTGAGATCCCTAAAGTATTCGTGATTTCTTTAGGCATTAGGCATCATCGACAAGACATTTTTTGGTATTCATGTGTAATTTATTGTAATCGACGAAAATCAATTTTGTAAAATCAAATCCAAACGTCTGCCATTCTCACTTCGACTGATGTATCTGTTGTGGTGAATAAGCCGGTCTCAATTCCGCCTAAATGGTGCTTCCCAGGTAGCCGATTTTCTTGGCTCTTTTGTGTTTTCCTTTCTCATGTTACATCGGCTTTCTAAGCTAATTCGTAGCCCGGATTCAAGTCAGGTGTGAATTATGGGTCCATTACGACACACTGTCACAGCAGCCACGAGAGCCGTGGGGTTGGTGGAAGGCGAGAGATCTGCATAGGTGCGCACCCATTTACTCACTCATCAAGGCCGTTGCCATAACGAATTCACGCGCAACACTTGCACTACTCTTGCAAATGTATCCCCCATGTTACCTTAACGTGTGTGTACACGCTTCGTTTGTATGCAGGACTTCGGTTTCCGTGCAAACTGGAAATTGAAGTATGGGATTCAACTTTCTCGCTCAAGTAAGTGTAACACCTCACACCGAGTGAAAGATTAAGAACTACATTTCAGAAATCTTAAAATTACAAAACTGCACTTTTCGGAGGGATGAGTGACTGGGATTAATGAAGCAAATGGACCTAGCACCTTCGTGTTCGCGTGTTTTGTTGTGCTGGTTCGACAGATAAGGAACAGCAAATAAGATGGGAGTTCTATTGACTTATGACAGATTCGTGATCCCTTAGACGTGAATCTCGAAGACCCAGTCTGGATTTTTCCTTGAAAGTCACTTGTGCAAACAACAAACGCAATCCATGTAGTGGGTAGCATTGTTTTTGGAACGCCACAAATTATCGTTCGGGTTGACGGTGGGATTTTGTGTACAGCAGCGTTAAAATATGTCCGATCTGTCGAGTTAATACCTCTGTTATTGCAACTTAACCCCTGGAACACCGTTAAACACAGTTGCGAGATTAGGAAAGGGTACTTATTGCCAGATTTGCAACAAACTGTATCTAGCCTTTTCTGATCGAGTTATTCGCTCAGTTTGTTCACTTGTCAGCTGTAGCTTTGCGCAGTCACCATCGGACCAGTTTCCAGTAGTTCGTAATAAAGTACATCCTTCATGTCCCACAAAGTACACAGGAGAATCTTCTTTAAGTGGATGTCCCATTTCGGCGTTGATGTACTGGGTGGCCTAGGATCTACCTACGAATTTTTTTACGTTTGGGATTCTCGTAACAAAAAGACATGCTCTTCATCACCCCTCACAATTGCCCACAGGAATCCATTAACTGCTTGTTGCCGGCGGACAAGCAGTGAAAGGCATGTGTTCATATATTGATCTAGGTTGTGTTTGGTCAACACATGTGGACCTAACTTTCAAGTTGTTGAATTTTTCCCGTTTAGTGCAAACGTTTAATGCAAATGCTATTCGGGTGACTACTAACTGAGCTGCAAACTCTTGTTGCGTTTGCGTTGGATCTTCATCCAACAGACCTTGCAATTCCGTATCTTCTACCTTCCGAAGCAGTCTGAAGCGCAGCTGATCACTAGGATCTAAATCACCACTTCTAAAACTTTTCATAAGGGACACAACATCGGCATCAAGAACACTATTTATTGATTTCCACGCATTAGAAGCATTTTTTTTTCTTTTTAGAATTCCTAACGAATGTGTTGTTTGTCAGTTGCTATCGTAAACCCTGTTATTCGGGGAGGTTATGTAACTCAGACCTCGTGTCCTACCCTTTCAAAATCACAATAAACCGGGAAAATTAATATATTTTAATATCATTTTATGCTCAAAGAAAAGTCTACACAAATTAAGTCATGCACCTAGTATTTTTTAATCCACGAGTCTTTCCCTTCCCTCTGATCTTATCCACAACCCCCTGGTCACGCATTCGCTTTTCAAACTCCGGACTAATGATGTCTTAAAATGCTTTTTTTTCTCGTTAAGAAGCATTGTTTCGCCGGATTAGCGTTTAGACTAGCATCAAAACATCGGTTGACTACCTCATACTCGCCAGCTGCTTCCTCCTAGTTTCCCATTTAATTAACCCAAGTGATTTCTTTTTAATTCCTTTGTACTTTCGTCAAACTCGATGTCATTGATACGTAAACAATTGTTCTCGTACTATTTTCAGACTCCATGTTTTTCAACATGAAAAAATAGGCCTTTTACAGACCTATTATTGGAGAGAGAAGCTGAATTTTAACTATGCGTACTGGCAACAAAGTTAGTCAGGGTAGTGCGTGGCTGGTAGTGCTTCCCGTGTCCCAGCCGTATTCGAGTGACTAGCTGTTCAAAGCCTTGACTACCGTTGTTTGGTTGGATCCCTCCAGGTTTCTCGAATTGCCCAGTGGTGCTTCAGGGGAACACTCAGATAAGCCATCACCCCGCCAGCCCCTTTGCTCCGATCACCCGTGTCACGTCGTGTGGCGGTCGCACGTCGCCTCCAGCGGCGTCGTCGCGCAGCAACAGCGACGTCGCGGCGCCCGTCTGTCCGCAGGTCCACCGGTCCGCCTCGCCACCGTCGGACTACCAGCGCGTGTTCGGCAGTGCGACCGGCAAGGGCCTCCTCTCTCACCAGGCGCCGTCTACTCCGACTGGTGGAGGGAATGAAGAAGGCAGGGCTCTTTACGTTTCACCTTACTTTTTTTGTGATCTTTCCGTTGGTCTTCTTACAACATGATCGATGCACTGTCGCTTTTTTCCCATCGCCATGCAACGTCCTTTAATGGACACTTGCTATATATGGGAGGTAGAAGTGAACCCAATTCGCCACAGGCTTAGTGACCATAAACGTGCGTGCGTGTGTGTTTGTGTTGCCTGATTTCTTAATGTGAAACTAGGGTAATAATTCCACAACCCCTAATCCCAGTTACTTGACGTCCCTCAGTTTATGCAATGTACCACAATAAACAAGCAGTTCGGGCAGGTAGTAGGAATCGCTTCTTCTAAAAATACATGCACCAACTGTTTGTGCTGCTGCTGTCAAACTTTCACCTGTCTACCGAACGGAATCCTGCACCATTTGCAATCTGTCACGCTTTCTCCAATAAGTGAAGATATCCTAGCGTGATGGACTTTGTTCTGCCAAAATCTTATTATCTTGAAATACCTTGACCTATTAATGCGTGAAAGAAGTGGTGCCACAGATAAATTCGACAGCTCATTGCTACTCTTGAGTTGTTGTCCGACCCCTCAAGATAAAATAGCCATCCAGTAACAGAGTTTGGCCTTCAGAATGATCTCTAACTTAATCGCTTGATTCCAGACTAGTGCTCGCATGCTGGTTTACTTCGTGCCGATGCTGGATGAATGTTGACCCGTCTTTCCACACTTTAGCGAAGTTGGAGGGCTTTCAACAGGCGCCAGGAGGCCCCCGATCTTCTCGTCGCCGAAAGGACTTGGTGGCCACATACGAGGAGGCCTGGGACGTCAAGATGTCTCGACGTCTTGGTGGTATGGATGTTAGTCGGCTGGCTGAAGGCCTTCCTAACGGAAACTCGAGCAACTTCAAACGCTTTGACCTCGTTCGTTCCTCTGATCGGCCAACAGTTACACCGACTTCTTCCATCACCGTGATGAGGTCCCCGTCTTTATCGCCTGTTCTGACCTCCACGGAAGGTGTTAAATTGAGGGAGCCGAAGCCGGCTTCACGAACGAGCTTCAGAAATTCTTCCAATGACACGCTCATCAATCGAGAAATTGTGGTCTCTCCGTTCCGCCTCAAGCAGAACCGAGTGAGTTTTAGATTTCTCTGCCTACAAGAAGTGCTTGCGCAAGACGGGTACTAGCCTAGGCTTGTTCGGTATTTCGTTTGAGTGTTTTAGTCCTTGAAAATAGCACCCAATAAATCGAAGCAGCTACTCTTGGGTTCAAAATGATTGGCGACCTGGTTCTAGCGGGTCACAGAGACAGGCTTTTATTCGTCTCCATGACTGAGTAAGACCTGCTGTGAAAAATTTGTCCGGCCTTCTGTTTCCCAGTTAAGCCTGTCCGCAAGTTATGTGGTGTCGCCATGTTCTATTAAAGTTCATTTAAGACATGACTGTCGAACTGATTTTGCTTGTCATTTATTCTCCACTGAAAACGAATTCTAAGTGGGCAGTCATGGCTACTCAAACTATGTTATAATGGGTACTAAATTTGTACTGCCAACTAAGTGGTGTGAGCTCATGCTACCTAAGGACTCTTCATTCGCTCTGGTGCGTTTTTTTCGGAAAACAGTCCTCTTTTTTGACAGAGAACAACAAATCTTATATTTCTTCTGGTAATTTGGTTGTGGCTTCTCAGCCAGGATCGATATTGATTTTCTTAGATTATTTCCAGGCTTCGAGAAACGTGAACACACTTTCTGTTCCTCGTAATTTCCGCTTGGGTCAACCTTTTACATTTAGGTCGCTTTCCACGTATAGTGTATGATGTAAGCCCACTGGTCTGTGTAGTTAAATTTGTTGCCTAACCCACTTGCTTCCGAAAGTTTATTCCAGTTTTCCATGGGTTCCATAAGCAGCCACTTCGTTAGTTTTTCTTGTTTGGTTTTGCTCTAGTTATTTGACCCACTTGTCCATCATTCAGTCATCCGCAGTAGTAATAAATTACCTAACAAGTGACTAAGACTGTCAGTGCATTTTCTTCATTGGGTCAAGTGGCCCGCACACACACGCACATTGTTTTAACTTGGCAATGCACGCAGTTCAGTTGTTTACTATGTGAGGCGATTGCGCGTTTACTTTGGCCAAAAGTTAACTCGGTTTTTGCACACTCCCTTTCTTACTGTTGACTTTATCAGGAAAAGGGTGTTATCGGATGCACTCTTTGGTAGGCACAAGCATCCATCTGCGCAGGCTCTGGTCACAATTTCTCCCACGTTTGTGGGCCTGTTTGAATACAACGCAGGACAAAATGTGCCCGTGTGGGTTCGTTCAGTGTTTATTTTGGACATCGCGATAAACACAAACATGGAAAATTCAGCGATTAAATGTTCCCTTAAACCGCATTTATCGATCTGAGATACTAAATTATAAGACAATTCCCCTAAAGTAGATGAAAGGATTTCTTTTTAGGCAGCAAAGTTGCCCTGTATTGTGATGTGGGTAAGTTGGTGGATTGGCAATTTTTTCTTCAAAATCCTCTGCTTAGTTTTAGCTCCGATCTATCGCGCGTCATTGCGTGATCTCAACTTTACCTTTTACGTTTCTGGCGGTGGTATTTGTTCTTCTGTTCGACAGTAATCGATGTACTCAACTAGCTTTTTTTGTTGATGCAGCCTATTACGACGATAGCAACTTTAATGTAGTATTAATTGTTCCCTCCCAACTTGGACTCCGAACTCTGAGAGTTACTTAGTCGACATTCCATCAGGACAGATAGCTTTTTTTCATTGGCGTAAAACTGTGTGCTAGGCTAATCCACGTTTGTAAAAAGCGAGTGTTTACCTGAATATGCTCGTCTGCAAAATGTTGTGGTGGGAACGTACGTATGCTGGCAACGCGCTATATTCACTGGGTAGCTCCTAAATCGGATCATGAGTCCTTGCGTTCGGAACACGATACCTGCGCATTTCGCCAAAATGCTGCTGAAGAAAATTCGTGTTCGTTTGCTTGGACCCGCTGCCTGAATGGCTCCTACCAGCACTCACAAAACTCCAGATGTTGCCTTTTTGGCAACCCGTTTGCGAATTTGTTTGGAGTATACCCCGTGCAGTAAGTAGGTGTGCATCTGACTGAGCTAGAGGAGTTTGCTTTATCGCTGGTCACCTTTGCCCCCTTTAGGTCGCCAGTCCGACCGTAGCACTTTCGGTGTCACCTAACCCTAGAGCGACTCCCCCGTCTTCCTCTTCTGAAGCACCCGTGACCGATTACGACTATGCCTACAACCGTTCCTGGTCAATGGGGGTCCAGGTAAGTGCCGGCCAGCCCTCAATTTCGATTGTGCGCTTTCTGTCATTTGACCTCGGCTATCGTCAGTTCGTCTGAGTGTTTGAAGTCCCTAAGCAGGTCCCGGCATTCGACAAGGAAAAACTCCGATCGCCAAGCTTTAATGCGCCAAGTAAATCATAGTTTACAGCTTTACCGGAAACCTGCGGACGTTCAGTCCCGTGGATGTGCGACTGAACCAGTCCATCAGACCACTAAACGACATTCTTCATCCCAGGTTCCAAAGGATTTTCCTTACAGCGCTCCTCCACGCTATGAAAAAAAAACAATGATTGTGTTGTGTGGTAGGCTGTAATATCCTCGGCAGTTTTATAGCTGGCCCAATTGATTTCACTTCGAAAAACTTGGGGATTTCGCTCCTGTGTCAGCCTTTTTGCCCCACCCGGTGCAAACTTCTCCACTTTCCTCTTTAGAATTCATGTACATCGCTTATTGGTAGTGTGTTGCTCGTGGTTTGATTCATTTCCCTCCTAAGCCTTTCAAGGTTCTGGACATTTCCGGTCTTCTAAACACTCTCTGCCTCTTGACGATTTGACTTGTTAGTAACGCCAGTAAGTCTGGTGTACGTTTTAAGACTAGATATCCTTCCAATTCCATACACTGTGCCCACATTAGTTTTGGTTTAACGATTGAGGTGGACGTTGTTGTAACAATTTTTTACGTGATTACTTACAAGTTTAAACAAGTGTGCAAAATTGCTTCTCTCCGTCGAAGTAACCATGCCCTCCAAACCCAGATACTACCACATGTGGACTTGTGTCAGTGTTACTCACTGCATGGGGAGGGCGTTTACGGCTGTCCAGAATCGATGTCTTTTCCTGCTTGAAACGCTCGGAAAGCACCTGTAAGGGGAAAAGAACGAGGTCCTGTGCGTTCTTATATGCAGGAACACTTCTTGGTCCAGCTACCAGAACAGGCAGCCACTTTCGCATGCACACTTGCACACCCGCTTGGTGTGGATCCATAACCCGTCTGTTTTCAGTTACTGTAATCGTGTTAGCAGGGGCTGGTACACGAACCCCAAGCGTCGTTGAGGTCTCCAACGCGCCTACTCTGAACCTAGAAGGTATCCATCTAATCGCCAGGGCATATCGTGCATCTTCGTAGCTCAAACCCTACCTGTCACCTAAGCATTAAGGTCACAGCTTTCCCTACAACGTGTGAGCTCACCTCTCTTGGCCTTAAATCCACGTGCCCTTCATATTAAATAGTCGGAAAACGACTTATCATTGAAGTTTCAACATCCACCAACGACTACAACACGCTTTTCCTCCCCCTAATCTGCGATTATTAGGCTCTAAGAATTGGTTACTCCCAACTCTGTCGATTTTTGATGAATTTAGAATAACCAGTTTGGTGTTTGTCTTGTTTTAATTCTTTTTGCTGTACTAACAAGTAGTCATCCACTTCAGTTAAATCTCTCCCTCAACCTGGCATCCAACACGGGCAGTTCGGCGGATCAGACTGCAGGAACCCCCACGGGTGATCCAGCTGAAAAACCATCCACCTCACCGCCGCCTCCGCCACCTCATCGGTCCGCCTCCATAATGACTCCGACGACCACCCAGTTCAGTCCCACCCACTCACCCACCCTCATGCGACACCAAAGACAACATGACGTCATCACAGCCGCCTCACCTACTACACCACGTGCCAGGGGCGTGCACAATCCCCTCGCTTCCGGGGTCCCCCTGACGCCCTCCTCACCATCAGGGGAGTCTTCCTCCACGGTGAAAGGCGACACTCCAGACACCTCCGGGGGTGGAACTGTCCCTGGCCTCCTTCCACACATGTCGCGCTTGCTGGCAGACTGGGATAACATGTCCACGGATAGTTGTGAAGAGCCCTGGGACGTGAGGCAGGGAAAGGTCATTTCTCAGCTGACTCGTAAGTGCACTCGTACTTAGTCGTTATCGCATTGATGACACACGACGAACGCAGGAGACCCCTTACTCGATATGAGTAAAGTTTTGACAGTGAATGGGTGGAGGTTGGGATACACCTCTTAAAATCGTTTGTTCATTGGCTTGCGTTCACCCTGGGTAACGATAATTCACACCTGCTGACGGCAGCAAAAGCGGAAGCTAAGTAAAACCCTTGGTTGTGAGCTTGTGCTGATAAGTGTACTACGTTGCCATACTTTAAGAATAAAACGTTGATATCTCACCTAGATTGAAGAAAAGGGAATTCGAACAATCGGAAATGTCGATTGAGAGGCCTGATCCCTTATAGCAGTCCATGTCTAATTTACCCTTTTCGGAAACTCAATGTTCGAGGGTGCAGCTCCCAGAAGGTGCTTTCATTTTTTTGTCTTTTGATGTTAGGTTCTCGTTTTATCGACCCGTCGGAAGTTCTTTCAGCTGTGGCTAACGGTAACCACAACGGAGCAGCCACAATTTCCAATGGACACGATGAGGGGAGGAGCACAAAGGGCGGGGCAGAGGCCGAGGGTGTGGCGCCCCCTCTGCCACCCTCGCTGGGCATCTCGCCCCCGGCATCTTGTGCGTCGCCTGTTGCACGAAGTCCTTCAGATTCCAAAGTTCACGACTGCCTGAAACCACTAAGCGAGCAGCCGTAAGTCCTTATAGAATGTTGTACATCCAAATCGAATTCCTTTGATCATTGGATGCTCGGTGGTTGGAAAGTGCACCGTAGAAACATCTGAAGCGTATGTCATAATTCTCCCAGTCGTGATACCCGGAATGGTGAGGGTAGCATGTGAGACACTGAATAAATACCTTGAGATTTGCCGATTCTGTTCTGGTTCCTGTGATTCCGACAATGGGTGGCAGAAATGGATCCTACTTCGGAGATAATTTCGGCTTGTTACTATCAGTAATAATGTTTGCCATTGAAAATTCGACCAGAACACATGGGTAATTAAATCGATTGGCCAATTTTCTGTTCAACACCGTCAACCAATGCGAACCCTACTTATTAGAAGACATAACCACGAATCTGTTTGTCACACAACCCAATGTTATTCCGCATGACCGCATATGGCTAATTAATATATCTTCCTTGGTTTCACGTAGTGAGGTATTCCCAGTAATAATGCCCCTAGGAAAGTTGACTGATTAAAAGTTGAAATTTTTTGTTGCCTTTCCTCAGCTGGTTCCATCCCAACCTCACGCGAGTCGCTGCCGAGAAGCGCCTACGTTCGGAACCCGAGGGTAGCTTCTTGGTGCGTAATAGCGAGACCATCAAGAACGAATTTTCTCTCACCGTAAAGTAAGTTTCTGGGTTTTCAATTCACGTGGAAGTGCCCAATGCGCCCTCCTATGCCCCTCCTCGCGTTTCTCCTTAAACTCTCCACGTAGCAGTAGTTTGCGTTGCCTGAAAGTTGGGTTATCCATAGTCTGGCCACACAGTCCAAAGGGTGCTAAATATAGTCCACAGCTCTAGTGCAACTAGTACGAGACTATAAGTGCGTGCTACTTTACTTCGCACTAATTCAAGACGGAGGGCATTTCTGAAGAACTAAACGCCCAAAGAAACCGGTAGTTTAGTTTCATTTTATAAGTCATCTCAAATTGTGCGTAATGACACACAGTGCCTGGTTTGCTTTTTACAAGAAAACCTCATCTTTCATGCACGTTTAGAGGTGCTTAGTTTATGCCATAGGAAATCGTTACAGAGGGGAGGTGTGTGTGTTTAACCCTGCCCAAAAATTACAATTATGATAAGTTTTTTTTCAGATGAATTGTTTTGATACATAATTTCTAACGCACGGAATGTCTAGTGATTGTGGTCCTGTTTTTAAATGAATTCACAAATCGAATGTGGTAAATGCATTGATCGATTGGTGTTTAGATATGTTAGGCGTTTTACAAACCTTCAAATAAGCAACGATAGTTTAACATCATTTGCACTCAAGAAATTCGCTAACGTGGTTGCTCGTACGAGAATAGCAAGCGTCGTCTGTGATGGGGAATTTATATCTGGAATGCAGTATTTTATTTGTGGCCAGGTAGTTCTGGGAAAGCTGTGTCTTCTTCAACCACAGGAGTCGATTCAAGGCCTACTTCTTCACACGGTTAACGCATGTGCCAGGGGGTCATGGGACCCTACTTTCGTCGGGTGAAGCGTGTTTTCACAATTAATTAGATAAGACTAGGGTGGCCCATGACGGATGCAGAACACCATTCTCATTTATTATGCAAAAACAAAGTCCACTTCGTTACGTCGCGGTTGACAGGGCGAGATCAGCTCTACTTCTACTAATTGGTCTTAAAGTGTTGTTCGAGTTGTCGAGCCTCTTCATAGTTGCCTCCAATCGCGAAATATTTGCGTGGGAAATGACGCAGCATTTGTGCAGACGACAGTCGTCCTTAAATCGATGTCTTTCAGAAATTATGCCATCTATGAAGCCTTTATCGCACACACACGTACACGCATTTCTATTCTTCATTGAGTATTCTAATTGTGTATTCTTTCTGTAACAGCTAAAGACATTACCTCTGGTTTTTAGCTATCGCTTTCACCTTCAGTGGGCAATACCCAAGTAGTTATACCGACCTTATTCTGACTATTCCAATCAAACCCGGCTCGCTTGGAAGTAGACTACATGATTTTGAGCACGTGACTGTTGAAGGTGTTGAACTTGCTTGTAGGCACAATGGTTTTCTCCACATGCGGATAACGCGCGATGCCCAGGGTCAGTTTGTATTGGGGGAGTACAGCCAGCCTTATCCCAGCATTCCTCACATGATCTCCCACTACGAACAGACCCAGGTGCCGGTCAAAGGTGCCGACTCCGTCACTCTCTTCCATCCTCATTGAAGCACCTCCTTACCCCTCAACTCTTTTGATACGTACTTTCTCCTACCGAGATTTGGATGCAGAAAGACAAACTGAGTTGCGATTGTCACGTGTCTTCTCTTCTTTTAACCCTCACCTGTACCCTTACAATTTCTGCATATCCATCTATTTTGTCTTGTGTGGATTTCGTGCATTTTTTCACCTCGTATGCCCCTCGATGGTGTAGGAGCTTAAGTGCTCTTCCATGCATCTATTTTGCCAATATATAGAGTCCGTATCTCTCAATCTTTGAGCAGACATGTTTCTGTGCTATGGAAGTCTGTAAGAATTGGCAAACACAGAGTTAGCAGTATTTGGTCGCCTTTAAGGTTACTGAAAATACAGGCGAACAATGAGATCGGTAACTTGCACCAAGAACCGCTTGTGGGCCCCAGCATGTGGTCCTGAACCACGCCGGGGCCAGTGAGTTAGATCTGGCCCGATTACGGTTCCCTACCACCCGCGATGAAGAAAAAGACCTGAAAAAACGTAAACGCAAACATCAACTTCAGAGCTCAACCAAGTTGGTGTCATTGTGTCGTGTGTGGCGTTTGCGCGAGCGTATTTATACCTCAGATATGTGGGTTATAAATGTGCTAACATTGAGACTTAGGTGTGAGGATAATTGAAGATTATCGTTCGCGCTAATGAGGGGGAGTTGGGGATCCGCGCGGCTGGCGACATGCTGCGAAAAGGGGATCCTGGTAAAGACGCATAAGGGCGCAGACATATTGGACCACGTTGGCCTTAGCCATTCCTCGGTCTCTGCTTTCCAATGGCATGCAGGGAAGAGAGCCAGCCAACCAGAGAGAGACACGTTTGAGAAGTAAGATATAATGAGCGAAGTAGTCAGCACGGTGTATTCGGATTGACGGCGTTTGACGTGTATTTCTGGCTTGTGACTGGCCTGTTCTGTTGTACTAAACTTCCTCCTGCTAGGGCTTGGGTATTCAACGCCCTATATCGGAGGCTGGAGGGACCGGATTGACGAATGCGAATTATCACGATTCACAACAAATCTAACCAAGCATTCAAGAGCTGGGCCTCGCTCAACTGCAGCAGAGTCATCAAGGAAGCTCTCTTAAACCTGTCTCCACAACCCTAAAGAATAATAGGCGAGTAAACTTAGGAAGTTGGACCGTTTGTTTTCAAGGTAATCTAGAAATAAACCGCACAAGTTAATGATCGTTTGAGTGTCTCTAATTTTACAGATATCCCCACTTAACATTTATTCGCATTACAGTTTTGAGCCACCAAATATAACATTTCAACTCGATCCACTGAGGGGCAAGTGTCGTCAGTGGCTCCATCAATGTCTGTTAATAATATTTTACTAAATAATCTCCTCACGGTAATCCATCGCAATTATCTCTGATTAATTTATTGTACCTTCTTATATTTCTTAAAACCAAACCGAAATGTGGAAGCTCTAGCGTGATTCACAAACCGCACAGGAGCAGAACGAGCTGCGCTGCTGCGGTAGGAGCGTAGTTGTTGAGCTTGGCAATAGCGTGATAAGGCGTCACTTCTTGGAGGAACGCTTAACATCGATCTTCGAACGAAAAACATCAATACGTAAAGTTTATTCAAGATAATCAACTAAATAATGCTTCCACAGACTTGGAAGCAATGTCCGAGCTCTAATCGCCACAGACATTTCAGTTTTTGCCCTCTCACTATTCGAAGGATTCAATAGGTCCAGTTTAAAAATTAGGGAGGCATAATAAAAAGGCTACCACCAGTACAAGCATTCAGAATGACCCCCAAAATGTGTTAATCTGCTTCTTAATCGCATATTAATGTGACTTCATTTGTCTGTCTCAATTTCGCAAGTAAACAGATTTGATTATCGGCTAGCTCGGGCCACCTTTGATAGGCCTAAATATGTCTCTACCAGATGGTCTGAAGTATGCATAGCAAATGTAGTCTTGCATAGAAGTATTGTCCTCATTAAGTTAATTTTCACCACGACGTAAATTCATTTCCTTATTATTAAAATATAGAAGTGATCAAAGTAATAAATCAACATCTTCATAAATTGTGCAAATCTCATATAATTTGATCCGAAGTCACTTTTCATAATTTGACTTAAGTATCATTTACTCTGGCTGAAATATCAGAACGAGATTTAATTCAGGCTTTCGAACCAATAAATTTAATGCTTTTGCTGGTGTTTGTGTGAATTTTGGTGTTGGGGTCGTGGGAATAGCCACAAATGGGGAAGCTGTCAAATTTCTTCAGGAAGTTTTCAACAGATAAGTTCCCCAAGGATAGTCAAGGCAGGCGACTAAATGATCCTAAACCAGTTAATACTATAAAACATGAACAAAGTGGGTCAGGTACATCGGTGCCTCGCGCACCCCCTTCCGAGACTTCTTTGAGGGCAGCTGACGCTGCTCTTAATCGGATCGCTGCACAGCAAGTAAAATCAAGTAAGCAATAGTTCTTTAATATTTTTCATTTTCCAGAATCCGCTATACAGCGCCAGGTAGAAGCTGAAAGTGCCCGTGCCAGGCAACAGTTACAAGATGCCGAAGCGACGGCTGCCAAGTTTGCTACAAATACGATTGTTGCAGAGACAGGTGGAGCATTACAAAGTTAGTGCCTTTAAGTACTGCAACAGTTGTCTTAATTGTATTGTTTTACGAGTGGCTTACAGGTTCAACCACCCAATTTTCATTTTTCAAGTCACCTGCATTACAGAGCACGCCGTTTTTATTTCCGCTAGAGGTTTCATTTTGGTGTCCTTCTCTACTTGACGACAACTTACGTGGAACCTACGCCGAAGTGGACGCTTCAATCGAGAGGGCGCTTCTTGACGAATCCCAGGTCGACCCAGCTGGCGCATACACTTTACTCGTCATCCGAAGTATCGAGGCTAGTCAGTTTCCCACCGCTGTAAATCCGAACGATGAGTCTGCTCCCAGTCTCCAAAGCCTTCGTGAGAAGCGAAAACAAAATTTTATAACTATAATCCGGAATTTAATTGAGCATCCAGAGAAAGAGGCCTTCCGTCGGCTAAGAATGAGTAATAAATTGGTATCTGACCTTCTGGGACTCAAATATGCCACTGAATTTTTTGAGGTATGCCTTGTGTTTATAAATAAAAAAAATTATGCGTTAATCTTTATGTCATTAACCAGTAGTTGAGTAAAGTATGTCATCTTTTTTCTTTTCATTTTCAGGTCTGCGGTTTCAGACAAATGGAGCAGCCAGCAAATTTAGAAGATGGAACATTAATGGAAAAATATCTAGTCTTCCCAGCCGCACCGACAGATGAACAATTATGTCACCTAAAAAGTATGCTGGACCTCTTCCAGTCTGGTCAGTCCATTGTTCCCAAACTCTGCCGCGACACAACTGTTCTTAAGGTAAATAAACCGATTTTTCTTGGATTTATATTCTATGTAGTTTTGCTGTTTCTTTAGCGGCATTGCATCCCTGAATGTTACCATAGCTTCAAGTACACAATAAAGACCACATAGATGTAACTGAAAAATATCTAGTTTCCTTGTCTGTTACCCTTCACAATTTTCTGCCAGTACTCGACATTTCAAATGGTTTCAGATTAATTTGTTTGGTTACTGGCGCATTCGTTTTGTACCCAACGAATAAATCTAATTTTCAAATGCCTCATTGTTCTTGGATGTCACTGATCATAATTTGGACCTACAAACTTTTTTGTCACCGTGTTAATTTTCATGCCCCTAGTTTAGGGGCTGGATGATTTGTTGCAAGGTCGTTATATACACAGTTATGCGGACATTTTCAACCTATTCAGGCCACTGGAAACAACTTCCGTGCACTGACTAAGGACGAGCTTCCCCCCGAATTCTTCTTTGTCTCACGAGACGATCTCCGTAGGGTGATGGTGGAACAACAGAAGGAAATCGATGAGGGTGGCATGCTCCTTACCAAGGCCATGCGCGAACGACTCAAGGTCCGAGAACGCCGCATCTACCGTTACGTACTTATTCGAGTCAAAATCCCAGGCGATGTGTTGCTTCAGGTACGGTACAATTATCGGACTTGAATTCGATTTAAAGTTCGTTTGTGTGTACCATTATTTGAAGTAATTGTGGGCTTGGGCGATTAAACCCATTCGGTCGTAAACGCTGTAAAGGCCTCTTGAAGGTAATATCTGTTTAGTTTATCACTGCAAATAGTTTCCAGCACAATTAATTTTACAGTTCTTGATTACAATCGAATTAGTGTCGATGTACATCGGTAGTAATTTAGTAAGTTATGTTCCATGCATCTACGCATGTGCCAAGCTTTTTAGTGTTGTTCAACTCGATCTGAATTAGAGGCAGAGAAGTGGCATTCTAAAACATTGCGGGACTGACTCTTAGGACGTCGTAGTTAGGCTTCAGTGTTTACATGAAAAATGTGATCAAATGATGCACAACTTTACCAAATTTTATCGTTATTTAGACAGGGTATCTTCTTGCGTTGTTTGCGTAGTCATTTAACTGAAATAGACCATGCTTGACCCCTCAACTCTTTCAAAAAGTAAGCATCTGCAGTGTGTTGTGTACTTGGTAATGCAGGAGGCTGTATCTATCTTGACATTTTGGTCCGTTCTAAAAGTCAGGTAGCCAAATTTTATTATGGACAAACTATATTACTCATTAAAGGGCACATTCATGGCCTCAGAGACGGTGGATGATGTCCGTACCTGGATCAGCAGTTGCTTTGTGGATCAAAGTATCACCTATCGTTTGCTAGCTCCACCGGGTCAGATCTCCTCAGCGTCAAGTGGAAACCGCCCAATGACTGCTTGGGTACCACTCGATGACTGCGAGTCCACATCAACGCTAGTTGATCTTGGCTTGGCCCCTTGTGCCATATTGACCCTCTCTCTTGACGGCGAGGCTCAGTTGGGCCAAAAAACAACAACAATCAAATTCCTACCAGAGTTGGAACAGCAGATGCTGCCGCTCACGCAGTAGGCGCGACTTATTTTGCCCTTTGACTCCTTATTTTCAATTTTTATGGTGCTCAGACAGTGGAGACAACTTTTTGTCAGTATTTTATTTGACAATAAATCAAATGCATTTTGTTGTTTTAAAGTCTGTTAAACCAAAGCAGGTGTAACTGCGGCAAGTTAAGGAACCTTGGTTACAGTCTGTTGGGATGACACAAACCAGGTAGTAATATGGGCCGACGTGATTTCTTTACATTCGGGCCTTGAATTCTAGTCAACAAATGACCAGGGGCGATTCGAAGGTGTTGTCAAAATGCACAGTGAAGGCTCTAGCCCCACTTCCCATGGGGAACGCGGATGCGGCCGATGAATCTTTCCTGATACTCGGTTGGCGTTTTCAGTTTCTTGACATATGCTGTGTTTGCGGCTTCGTCCATCAAGTACTCAGAGGCTGTTTTCGGCCTTAGTGGATAAACCAGGAGACTGCGGTGGGTGATGGGGATCGTTGGCGGAATCGAAGGACCGGTACCTAAGTTACCAAACTGAATTTACTAAATTGTAATTCATCGAAGAATCAACTTCACACTTAAAGTCATTAAGCGGGAAATGTGATTTTGCTCCTATGAAATAATACTTTAAGGGTTGAGTCTTATCTCCGTCTCATTTTATTTCAACTAAAGGCAATGGGGGGTCGGTATCAGTTGAGTGGGACGTATGTTCGGGCAGGGATTTGTTATGAATTCGCTCAACCGGGTTTCACATCTAGTCTATCTTATTTTAGAGAAGAGGGCATGGTCTATCCGGTACGTGTCTCAGTAGATCAGGTACCAGGTTGACACTATTTTGGGATGCTCATTTTGCTAGTTCCCCTCCATCTTATTGTCTGAAAACAAACAACAACAGAGTTTGCAAAAGATTGCTGGAATTAGCGACCTACAATCGTATTCCCCTCCATGGCTCAAAAGGGACCCACAGTATTCTGGCGGCAGTCGTGGTCCTATGTCGAGGCCAATGAAACCTGAGGGACAGTTTCCCCTCAATCGATTTGAAATCCTTGTGCCTAAAAAATATAAACTTCAAAGCACTCTGGTGTTGATTTGTGAATGGAGGCTTTGCCACCATGCCGTACTGTGTTTACCCTGTCCAGGAAGTGGCAATCAAAATTTTTAGCAAAAGTAAATAGAGCAATATTGATTTGTTTGTGAATATTGTGGTCAAACCTTGGATTGTAAACAACCACTTTATCACAGAACGTAACCCTCCGCCAGGGTTCAATCTTAAATACATCCCGTGACCTTCACTGCATATTTGAGGTGTCATTTGCGATTGACACACCACTGGCTAGCCGTCTCCTGACTTCACTGCGACAAGTGGTACTGTCGAGTCAGTCGGGAATTTATGGAGTGGTTTGAGAAATAACTAAGGAGAGTAAAACTTCATTTGCTTCAGTGTTAACGGCAGCTTTGTAATCCAAGAAAATATCCCTCAATGGCCAGCTACGCTAAAATTTTCACGAATAGTTTTTTGCTGTAGTACGACTTTGGGTTCTTTCTTAACTGGTATCTTGGAGCTTGATCCAAAAGCAGTAGCCATTGCGCACAACACACAATTCACCACTACAGAGGCAAACTATCTTTAAGTGAGAAATTAACTGGGCTTTTCGGATTTCTGAGTTATTGGATAAGGGTTGCCATCATTTGGCTAAATAAAAGGCCAACTTGACCAAAATCCAACCAAAAGGGATGTTTCCTTAATATTTACGTTTTTACTGGAGTGCGTGTGCAAAAGTGGGGACATAAAATGTAGTACCTGCCCTGTATGGAGGCCACTGTAGAGCAGCACCCAGAGGTGCCCCATCATGTTGAGGTTCTGAACGCCAGCTAAATCGCGGTCCAACGCACATTAAGTCTGGTCCATCTGTGTGATATAGAACTGTACGTGGTATCTTGTAGGAGTATGATACCTTGTGAAAATTTCCTGTATACCTAACAGGCTTTATTATTCGAAAAAAAGCCTGCGGATCCTACAGATGCAATACAAAAGTAAAATCAGACATAGATTAAAGGGAATAGGATACGAATTTAAAAGTAAGGAAAACATCCAGTCTTATTTGTTCTAGCATAAGGCTGAACAATCGTCTTAACGGTCTTCAGTGTTTTGCGGTCGCAAGACCAGTTTATCCTTGACAGGACATTTTCTAGAGATTCATCGAGATTTAAACACAACACTCACAGAAAGCAGAGGAACTACACTTTTCCAAACGCTGACAGTTTTTAGGCGCATCACTTTTAGTGACAAATGTACTCACTTTTCAAAATTAAATGGCTTGACTTTCCGTCTCAACCAGGACTATTACAGACCTCAGTTATGACAGCAAATTTCTAACAAAGAGCATGTTACTGCATAAACCACCTTGTGACAGGTCTTCTGTCGGTTGGACAACACTCCGTCATTGGGTCCATGGAAAGTGCGTGGTCTTTGTGTATTTGGATCGATATGTGGAGAGTCAATTAGTGGAGGTAGGGGCGTATATTTGAGTTCCACATTGCTCGGCATTATGAGTGTAACTATATATAGTTCTTAAAAGATCACAGGAAGTTTGAAGGATGTAATCTTTGAGAATTATATGAACTGAAACTTCTGTTACCTTCACAAACGGTTTGATCCTGGCATTTAGGACTAAGTCCAAGGAAGTTCTAAATGACATATTTGCCTTTAGCTGGATTCAAAAGTTATGAAACGGTTCCTGTAATTTATTTTGCCCAAAAGATAAAAGATTTAAACTAAGAAAAAGTTACAAAATTTAAACTTATTTGTAGAATAAAAGCTAACGTTTCTGTTGTGTTAGAAAGTGATTTTACAATAAGCACACTATTTATCAGACTACTGTTTAAATATATTAAAACGGTAGGCTATCACTAAAAGTATCCGGTACTCCAAGGTCCGTCAAGAATAGGCTTAACTAACCAAGGAATGAAGTTATTATTAGGAAAGTATGTGAAAACCTTGCAGCCATGTTCAAGCAGAATGTTCAACTTTGCAAGAGGAATCAACTATTGACTGTGTACGATAATTTTAATTCCAATAAAAAAAATTCCATAATATTTAAAATTGGACCCATTTGACCTTAAAAAATGCACATTTAAGGACAATTTTTTAACCGATATTAACGTCAAAGTAGGAAATGCATATGACCACAAAATCTTTTGTAGTCTGCATTAATTACACAACGGAAAAAAACTCTTAGTGGTTACTTTGCTAGGTTGCAGCAAATTGTTTGGACAATAAAAGAAAATTGAAAACACACACCAGGATAACCCACACTGTTGAATTGGGCAGATGCACGAGGTCGTTATTATGGCAACCCAAGGTGCTCATGTCAGGCAAAAAATTCAAGTCTAAATGATGAAAATATCATAAAAAAAGAGATACGACATATTGACTAAAATTAATAAAGCATAATGCAATTAGTTTTGCCTACTCAATGAGCACTTTCCCGTTTAGCTAATGTGAACACTTCACTTAGTTTTCATTAACAAGTGTTACGCTCTTCAACCGTGATCGTGAGGTCAGTGAATAAGAGCCTCAGACTTAAAAATATCAGTGAAAATTATTATTACCTCAAGTGCTAACATTCGGCGTCCACAAAGCTTAAGATTTTTCACAAAAGATAACAAGTTGTTTGAGCGAAATTTGGCAGAGCAAGCAGATTTTATAATCTCACATCTACAAAGACCTTATTAGTATACCACTATTATAAAGAAGTAACAAGTTCAATTCGAGCACCACAATATGCATACTTATATGTATAACATGAATTATAAAATTATGTTAAAATTGCTTCACATTACACGAAGTAAATAGGAGCACTGATTTTTCTATTATCAACCAACCATTTCGGTTCACTACAAGGTAACTTTTGGAAGACTTGTCACATTTGTGGACGTGAATTAGGTTACGGAAGCTCTCTGACTTGAACCTAAATTACTAGAGTTTGCATTAATTTAATCAATTGGAAAGCCGTGACATCATTTGCACGAAATTGCGGTAATTTCGATGCCCGTACTTTTAGCTGCACATACTATCCAAGTGCAGCCAGCTCCTCTAGCCTACCTAGAAGATTTAGCAAGATGGCAGATTGCCACCATCTTGGTGCTCAGTCATTGATTAAGGGTGAACAGCATTGCATGGTGGCGACGTCACGTAACCGTGGATGCGACTTCCGGCTGCGTGGCGTCAAGTAGGCATTGAATGACGCGTCAGAACTGTCAGCCAATCCACACACGGGATTTCCGTCTCCATTACAGCGCCGCGGAACGGACCAACGGGAGAACAGTACGACCAAGACTAGGATAAATAAGGACTCTGTTTCCCCCCAATATGACGAACCAGGCTATAGTCATTTTTGTCTCAATAAAATGTTCGTTTTGTCTCAACCTTGTTATCACTATGAGCCCGAAACCTACAAGGATGCAAATAAATACCATTGATGTGAAGAGGTACATAAAATTGGAAGTTCGCAACCTTCTCCTAAAATTCATTGAGTTGCACTTTAAAGATCAAAAAACGCACAAAATTTGCAGTTCCTGAATTTTGAAAAGTTATTTAAAGTAACTTTATTCAAAGCCAAAAATAAAAATTTGTAGGTTTTGATTTTGTTTGACATATACGTCACGATATCTTCTCCTATGTGTCCTTGGGAATCGCTTCTCGCAATTGGTTGATTGTTTGCCAGCACTCGCCGCGCTCCTAAAACCCGTCTCACATTTTCGCAGTCATTTATTCAGTCAAGCGTGTTTGAGGAACATAAAAGAGTAAGCAACACTAAACTGAATTTTTTTAATAAGTTACTGCCTGTGTTTTTATTTGATAGTTTTATACTTTAGCAGATCATGGCCTTCTCTGCTTAAAAAGAAAAGTTTCGAAAAGTGAACCATAATCCAATTAAAAGTCCATATACTCCTTTGGTCAAAATGCATATATACGATTTATTAATTGTCAACCGTTAACTTTAGATCATTTGTTTCCTTCAAAGTCATTTTTCGAATTAATATCAATATTGGTTCCTAACTACCTAACCTAGATCTTCAAACACACAATAGCCTCACTTACAGCATTATTTACTACATCTCCAATATACTGAAAAAACATTATTTATATGCAAGGTTTAGTATTGTGATAACCATTTTGCATTCACCGGCTGTATTAAAAAAGAAACCAGTTATTGGTGTGTTGTGCATAAACTTTCAAGGTATGGACTTAAAACGTTTAAGCACTAAAATATAATTTTATTGAAGGGTTTTTTGTTACGACGCAAAACGGAGCTTCGTCTTGGATTTGAAATCGCGTTGTATTAGTATCAAATAAGATATGCTCCCGTGCAGTCTTACGTGATGAATGTAAGGACATTCCGTAAGAGCAATCCGTTTTATGGTCTAGCCATCAAAGCGTAACAATGACAATCAACGTGAGTAAAAGCCCCTGAATTTTTAGTAATGCTAATGAATATCATTCAGCTCTTTGAACAAAATTCATTAGTGATATTCTTGCTTTATTTGTTTTATTGATTTGGAAACCTTTTCTAACTAACATAATTTTGAACTTCAACATGAAGCTGAAAATTGAATCACTGATATGAGGTCAGCGTTTTGTAAATAAATTGTATCAATTTAAGAAATAAGGCTAATAACCTCTGCAAAATACCTTAAAAATTATCAGCTTTAACGCATCAACAGCAAAATAGACCCTTCACTAGAGACATATACACTAGTCATCGTTTGCAGAACGCTGCGTGATCAGTACGTTTAATTTCATTCAAACAGCATTGAATAGGTTTTAGTAACTGCAAATCAAAACTAAACACTTAAACATTTGCATTAATTTCAGCAGCATCTCTTTATGCCAACTTAGGATTTTGCCATTATAATAATTTAAGCCTTACACGCAAACTATAATCATAATTTTTTTCTATACAAACACAAGTAGGAAAATGATTGAAACAGGGGCATTGTGCATTCATATTTGGTTTTTGATAATAATTTTTTACCCACCACGATTTACAAAGGCAGTGTAGCGCACCTTACGTCAATGACCAATTAACGAGGCAGCGGTTTGCTTTGACATCATGTGTGTCGGCATGACGCCCTGCATACAATGCTTGATTGTAACACGCAATCACATTTGCAGCAGTTTTTGGTCGTACTGGGTTATTAATGACGAGTTGACTGCGTCGCGATGTTTCCGAATAACATATGTTTAGAAATTATTTAAAGTCCAATATTTTCTCAAAATGTGCACAAGAGGATTCGTTTTATTGATAGCCGACAAAATCAGGATGCAAGAAATGCATCGGTATATAAATCAAAAGTCACGGAAGCATTGGCAGGTTTGCTTGACTAGAGTTCTGTCATGCATAGGAAAAAAATTATCGAACACACAAGCTAGAATAAAAATGACACTTTTCCAACTCCCTAGGCTCAGCTGCCACATTTAATGAATCAAACTAACTTGCTATTACGAGAATGGACATTATCATAGTGCTTGACCCAGCTAATATAAAAAGCCATAAGTAGAGAGATTAAGCTGGCGTTGTCTTTAAAAGGTAATTTGCACAATTTGCTAAGGTACCCCTCAACCAATCACTTGATTGCGTACCATCGCCTCACTCAACTACCAATGGTCGCTGTTTCCCATCGCAATCTGAAGGCGTGCCATTATTGCAGCAGCAAAATCTAGGCTATTGTGCACTTTACTCGGACCAGCGATTTTTTGATGACCGACTTCACGCCCTGCCGTTGCCACATAACGACTGCTTGGGATGAAATCGTTGCAAATTTTCGTTGCTTCGAGTCGATTTTACCAGTATTAATTAAATACAATGAGTAGCATTTCTGATAGTCTCCTTTATCGAACCGCATTTTAAGGCTTCAAAATTGAGTTATTCTATCTAAGTAAAATCAACACCATGTAGAATACTTAAAAAGAGGCAATTTTATCTAGGACACTAATTACCATTTTAGAGTAAAACAAATGAGAATAACGATTAATAATCTCAGGTTGCGATAGGGAGATTTTTAAGGGTCAGCTTCTTATGTTCCACAAAGGTGGCTATGCAGCGCTCGCAGTGTTCAAATAATAAAAACCAAAGGTGTTGAAGTTCATTTAGAGTTTATAAAAGTGTTAGCGGCCACATTTAATTCGTTAATTTATCAAGAGTCCTCTCATACTGCAAATCCATATATTCTGTTGGCTGTACAGGGCATGAGATCTGCTAATTGAAGATTATCACTCCAAAATCGTTAAAATTCGAAGCAGTTCTGTTAGTTTGGTGAGTCGTTTAATTTCCAAGGACCAGGTCACAAACCAGGACTACTTGGTTAGGCAGCACACTAATTTTTGCGTCGCAGCGCGTAAATAACAAGTACTTAATAATGCGGAGCCTTACTAATCACACAATACTAACTTGATAATTGATCAAGGAATCACCTAAGCACAGGCATTAGTGTTGAGCGTCGATCTAGGCAAAAAAATTGATATTTACTACAAGTTTACATTGCTTAAATGCAACTTTTTCGGATGACAAAGGTTACAACGCCCTTTAAGTTATAGCAACTTCTAGGCGTGTAAGAATTTCAGGTAAATCTTCTGAAATTCGGAAAATTCAAATACAGACAGACTGAAACTCCTTTGGCTTCAATTCTTTTAAACCATTTCCAACGACGAGTTGAAGGTTTTCCACATAAAAGGCGTAAAAAAGCTCATTTCTGACGTGCAAACTCAGTACCGAACCAGAACAAAACAGTCGGTTAGTTTTTTTGCAGTTGGCTTTGGTTTGCAAGGTATGCTCGGTAAAACATTCAATCAGCTCAGTTCGTAGGATTCTTTCATGGTCAAGAATGCTTTTTTATATTTTAACTAGCTTTGCATACATTTTTGCTTTGAGTGCCAGCCTAGAAAGCCATTCGGAGCTAACGTGTTCCGATTGTTCTTCTAGATATGCCACCGAAACGACCGTTACCTATACGATTATCAGACGGCCATGCAAACAACCCAAGCATGTCTGCTAGCAGTGCGATGCTTTCCGACAACACGAATGTTGTAGTGAATGGAAAAGAATTGCACATCAAATTCTCCGACCCGGTAATGGTGAAGAAGTTAGGTAAGCATGCACAGTGGCTTTATACAAAGTGTACAAATGATCAAAATCGGTCATTTCCCACATATCCCTGAGCTCCTCAGCTCTGCATTGTAGCATGTGTGGAGGGCTTGAGGATGAGTTCATTAAAGTTTTGTTAAATTTATTTATTGCATTAAAGAAAACCTGGATAAACAATGCTGTTTTCTTTAACGATTCACAACTTTTCGATGCCTTTGCGAAACTCTCGCTTTTGACCTAAAAAATTCGACTGGCTGTGTTTTAAGCCCATGGTAGTGTTAAACGAAACCTTACGCAAATTGTCGGTTAGTGGCCAGAACAGATGAAACCAAGTCAAGCGAATGTAGCCTGTGTGAGGGTGGGCTTGATTTCGTTGCACGAGGACACCATAACGTCAATGAGGCCAGCTTTTCTTGTATCAGTCTGCAAAATAGATACATTTATTGAATGCAAAAGTTTGCCTTGACTGTTTTGTTCTTCTTAAGAGACTCATGATGACCGATGTCTTCATACTTCCACAAATTATGCACCACAACGACTTATTCCAGTGTGTAGAGACAATATGCATTTTCACTAACCCGTGATTTGGTTTAATTTGCTAAGTATAAGGCTGTGTAGGCATCCGAGGTATTCTGTAAGCCGATCTGACAAAAAGGGCATTCAATACTGTCAATCTTCTGTCCGCAATTTACTTCATTTTTACCACTTCCTAACAGTAACTGAAGGACGAGATAAATGCTTCATTATTTTACATAACAACGGTGATTCGGACATCAGTTGTCCGTTTTTGTATGCGTGCAATTAATTTTAGGCAAGAAATAAGATTTGACATGTCAAGATTCTTCTGCCATAACTTATTTTAACGAATTAGAATGCGTCAACAGGACCTCAAAATTCCCAAACCAGGCCGTTCACTATTCCATCAAACATTTAGTGACCTCAGAGGACGTTCAATGGTTGTAAGCACGTGTGTAATTAGCATTTATTATCCTATTTCAGCCATAAATTTTATGATTAGGAAATGGCCTCGTCCACCTTCAAATTTTGTTAGGATAGGAAGGTATCTGAGCACAAAGACTTTGGTTATATTGAAAGAAGTGCAATGAAAAATTTTAATGTCCACTGTAGAATAAAACACTACAGATGATTTTACGAATTCTGGATCTCCGATGTTACGGTTTTTCACTGGGATTCATGATAATCCCCTAGGGTATTTTCGCTCATACTCCACTTATTAAGACATGGAATCAAGAGTTTTGTGGAACCAAGATTATTTATTGCTATGTTTTGGTTTAATTTCTCTCAGGTTCTGGCCAATTTGCTACTGTTTTCCACATGAAATTCACCAATGACAACAATGTCTACGACTTTGCTGTCAAGGAGATTAAGATGGGCAGGTCAGAAATGAGAAAGAGTCGTATCCGTCAAGAATCAGAGTTTGGATTACGCATGTCTGTTTGTCCGTTTGCGGTCAATACTTACGGAATCATGGGTCGTGGGGATGAGATCCGCATACTGATGGAACTCATGGATGACACGGTCGCAAATCTTCGATTGATGGTAAGAAGACTTGTGACATCGTTCCACATATTCCTTCGCTTTTGCCGGACCTTGAAGAAGTTCGTGTCTGCCTCTTACATGTAACATCGAGAAGCCGTTTTTTTTAAATTCTGAAGGTTCTTGACTCCAGGGCAAATGAATGTTTTTAGTTGCTTAGATGTGTGATTCCACATGTCGTGGAAGGCTTTATTTCTAAAAGGCTCTAGAACCCACTTTATATCATTGTTAGGTACAGTGGAAGATCAGGCATCGAGATCTTCGTTTTAACTAATCTTGATATTGGCAGTAATTTATTGCCCTGTTTAGTCGCAATCACAGTTATAAATGCAGTTTTCTGATTGGCTTAACGTATTGATGGACTTTTATTGACACCTTCCAATTGGTTATCGATTCCTAAATTCTCAGAGGCAGGTTGACGCGTCAACTAATCCTATTTTGTCGTAGTTCTCACCAGTCCATGTCAGAAATTTGTAGGTAGCCGTTATTAAGTCACCAGATGGACTGTTGAACACTTCCTTTTACAACAGTAGAGGTGCCTTTTGGGTGTTGAATCTAGCAATAATTCCACCTGTCGGGGAGAGGGTTGATGCCTGCCTAGACTACATTTCAGCGCTCGAATTCTAAATATAGACCGGACCAGGGCGTTTTTAAATGCTATATCTGAATCTTGTTACTCGTAAAGGGTTTTTTTGACGAGAAGCAATTTGCCGTCTAGTTGTCAAAGTGGGTGGATGCAGTTGTGGAAAACAGAGATCAAGGAACTGCGGGGTGGTTAGAGTTTAAATATTGGATCTATCAGACCACTAAGTGGAGTGCCACATGCTCAGTGTGAGTTGATTTTATCAAGCAAAGTGCGTATCGTGGCTACAAATCGGTTTTACTGCGGGCCAAGCTTTCAGCCTCAAGTGACTTGGTGCTATCAAGGAAATGCTAATCTACTAGGGAGCGAGAGTCATCATTCACGACATACTTCTTGAAAGTTCTCGTACATATTATGAAACAAAATCAGCATCTATTACCTAGCCAGAAGAAACTAGATGAAAATGCAGCGCTCGTCAAAGTTTTTTTGACACTGGACACATGATTCTTTGAAAGTTTTAAGTTCTAATGGGCATGTACGGTATACCTAACACAGGTGATCAGGTTTGAATTGGAATTATAGTACAATTGTAGTGATCTGAAGGCCATACCGAAATGAATATTTGTGTCTATGACAAAAGTGAACGCTTCGAAGAGAATACCCAAGGCTTAGTCATATTTTCAAAATATCGCATTCCTTCCCGTCAGTATTGGGATCTAAGTCGATGTCAAACAGTCGGTAAAATTAACCTGTCGATTAATGGAACAAGTCGAAGCACATTTAGTTGCGAATATCACTTGTTGCAGCAACCACGAAAGTCGAGCATTAGATGGAGTGGTGTGCGTGAAGTACCCTCCACAATCAGGAAAAGGGTGAAGAATCGTTTCTGATTATTCATGCGTTCCAGAGCAGTGGCACTATAACAATTTGAATGATGTTTTAAAAGCCAAGCCTTTAAATTTAACCAAACGTTCCAGTCTTCGTGCAGTAACAACAGAACTCCTGCACTCCATGCATTCTGAACACCAGGCATTGACAAGCGCTATTTTCTTGTCATACACAGAGTCACTGTGATATTGACGGGACAATCCACGACTTAACGTTAAACTAGTTCCACTTGTTCTTACAGTTGAATTTCTACTGTCACCTCAACTACTGCTTTAAAAGTTAATCTAAATTTCGGTTTATTTTCATTAAGCGAGACCTACTGGAGTGCGATTTCCCAGAAGAACACGTTGCTTTCACAACGAAATGCGTGGTCAAAGGACTTGAATTTCTACGCCAGTGCGGTATCCAGCACAGGGACGTAAAGCCTACCAACATGCTCGTCAACCGCGATGGCTGCGTCAAAGTGAGCAGCAAATTTTGCAATTCACATGTCTCAGTATTAACTAGATCTTTCAGCGGGGTCCTTCCAATGTAATGGAAGGGCTGAATGCTAGCAGGTTACACCTGGCATTAAGTAGCAAATTGTATAGTAAAGAATGACTCTTCCGTATTGTTAATTTATGTTGTGATTTACAAATCTGAATGCTTTTGGGGCAAATTGATTCAAGAAAAAATCAACAAATAAAACGGTTAGGTAGGCTAAGTTGCTATCTTGTTAAGCCTGTAAGCAGAAGAACATATTCAAGCTTTCAGTCAAAACTCAAAGGCAGCATAAATTGCAACACTAACTGGACAGCTTGCCATTCGTTGGATGGCTCTTGATTCAGTGGAAGCCGGCTTATTCGTAGCTCTTAGAAGAAAATTTGTGTGAGTCAGACGCCTTCATTTCTATGCTCAAATTGGCAAAATCTTCTCATTTCATGGTTCTTGCCTAAATGAATAATTTCGGAACACAAGGGGCCAAGGGGACGGCATCAGATGCCTCATCATGGGATGAAGTATTAGACAATCATAAGTTCAAAAATTAGTTCTAGATTTTATGAATGCCTTCTGTAACAATGTAGCTGACGAAGGTTTACGTGAAACTTCTAAGCTGAAGGTAACTAATGCCTAGAAATTACTTGATGAGCATAGACCGCGTCAATTTACCAACCCCGTCGCCTTCAATGTCATTTTTGTAGCAGATATGCTTCACACGATCTGAGAGCCTCAGTGGTCTTCTTTGTCTAATACAAATCCCCATTTATCTAGATTTGCGATTACGGTGTTGCCCAAAAGATGCAAGGCGACATAACCAAAACGAACGTTGGAACCTTTAAATTTCTGGCACCGGAGCGTCTTGTTATGGGACAAAAGAACGGCTTCCGCATCCAATCAGACGTTTGGTCTCTCGGAGTGAGTGTGTATAACATCGTCACGGCTTCAATGCCCTTCCCGGAGAATGCCACAATATTCGACTACCATCAGTATATTATTGCAAACTCTGATGTCGACCTTCCTCCTGAAAATGACTACTCACAGGACCTGAGAACCTTCGTCTCCTCTTGCCTAAAAGTAGAGGAGAACGACCGCCCAGACTACGAAACACTCCTCAAGTTCGGCTTCTTGAAAAACATCAAAATAAAAGACCACAAGCCATTATTTGCGCAATTCGTTTGTGAAACCTTTGATAAGTATAATGATTCTCTTGTTTGATACTTTCTCGTTGTTTTTCCATCGCCTTGCAAGGACATTTTAAGGGAACTCAATAATGCACACCCGTCGCCTAATTTTATTTTGCTTTACCGGAATCTCAAGTCCTGGTTTTCGACCTCATTAGATCTTTGATTCCTGCAACGTTACTTATTCACGGGGCGTCAGATTGGGACAGGTAGCAATCCTAGTACTTTAAGCCTTTGCGTTATTACTGTGTTCACACGCAGTACAGAAACATCTAAATAAAAAGGTTTCACACTGGATCATGTAGTGGTATTTAAAATTCCGAAATAAAAAGTAACCACAGTTAATGTTTAACAGCCGGTCACTTGATTAATTGCAATCAGGAAGAACCGAAACACAGAGCGCGGATGCAAAGTAAATTCCTTAGTGGATGCAAAGTAAATTAAACAAAGACAACCAGCTGCACTCAAAATTGAGTGTCGAAAAGAAAAATTGTAGAAGTTATTGGACCAAGTCGACCTTTTAGGCAAAGGCTGGCTAATAATGGTAAATTCACTGATGTAGGGATTATAACTATTTCCGGCTGAATGAACTTTATATCCTGCTCAGACTGACAGAACTTGTCCAGTTGCTGATATGATATTTGATTTGAAGCAGGAAAATCAGCTACAAGTGGAGTGTTATTAATGACTTTGGTAATTTTGAAAAGAGAAAAATAAATCTTAACTCACAAGATTTTATTTAAAATAACACCCACGACTATAAAAAGCAAGATAAAAAACTATAATACAAATAAGCACTAATCTAACAATTCCATGCAGTAGTAGCGATGATGGGATCCTAAAACTGCTAGTTCGCGACACGTGGTAGCTTTTCGAAATCCAACAACCCGAGATCGCTTTCGTGAGCGTAAATCAGTGGGATTTTGGTTATCAATACGTACATGTTCTTCGCCGAGAGCCAATTATAATGTCAACGAACAACACATCATCGGATAGTCCACAAATTCCTGTTCAAATGCAATGGATTGCACACCGTGTGGTGAGGATTGCCGTATTCTCAAATTCGAATATATTTTCCTGATGTTGGACCTTTCCAAAATTCATTTTTCTTGTGTTTTGACAGACTTCGAAGCAGAGTCAAGGCAAGTTCCTGAATTGCATGTTGTTTGTTCACACCGTTAATGCACACTCAAAAACAGGATATTGTTATGACATGCCTAGAGAAACCGAAATCTTCTCAGCTAAAACATTTTGCAGTGCAGTCGCTATAAAGAGAATATTTAAGAGATTGGATTAGCACTTTAAAATATTATATCAGTGGCGAATAATATCGGTAAGTTGTGTTACCAGCGAATGTCATTAAGGACTTACGTAACGCTTACAAGAAGTTTTTACTGTGTGAGGAATTATCGCGACGCAAAATATGGAAAAAAACATAGAAAGTTCACCATGTCAAATTTAAGGCCAGGTTTGACTAAAATAAAAAATGAGGTCATTGGTTTAGTAGAATGCACGAAAAAAGGCGAAATTGCACAAATTGAAGGATTTCATTCTAGTCCAGCTCAAATATGACCGACTCAAAATGCATTACAGACAGCAATACTATCTTTGCCTGGTTTACTCTGCAGTATTATCATATCTGAGTAGACGATTTCCAGATATTTGGCTATTCGGCATGAGCATATATGTGAAATGTAACACAAAATAGACAAATAAGAAAACTTATTAGTGAACACGAGGCAAATCAAATTGTCATTAGCATAATAAAATGGTCAATGATAATGATGTCCAAGATTTCAATAATCGTGAGTTCTTTATAACAAAACCTCCACTTGACAAATTTCCGCATGAATCGCTAAATGCTGCAAAACTAATTCGACGAAATCGAAAATGTCCTAAAATGTAATTTATATTAAAAAAATAATTAACTTGTCCCCGTAAAAATAAACATTCATCAATCTTAAAGCATTGTGGAAAAATTACGCTGAAATTCACACTGTTGGTGGCGAGTAAATAACCTGATTCTAAACTGCATTGAGATTAAAATATTCACGTTCCAAAAATAAGCCATTTTCAGACGCCATACATGCATACTTTTAGTCGACAAAAATAGATAAGTCATTAATTGGATCAGAAACTAATCAGATTAACTTGACTAACACATCTATATTTGCAGTGTTGCGTCAGAATCTAAATATAGGTGTCTCACTGTGACTTAGATGTTACCAATTACCGCCACCTAGCAAGCGTGACAAATGATTCTCCAGAAACACACGCGAAGATGGCTGCAGACAGAAACGCTTTCCAAACAATTCTCCTTGAGTCGACACCGCACTTCCACTGACAAATCGAAAATTCAGCTCAAGGCACTGTCAACGAAGAGGACCAAGTGAATCCAATTTCACTCCATACATTCAACTATGCACTGTGTTCCATTCGACTGCAATTAAGTGATTCGCTCTAGCCTTGTTTTCTTAAGTGTACTTAAGTTGCAATCGTGGTCCAGTTGTGACTGATTCACAACATGCCACGACTAGGTGTTTCGCCATTTGCTTGACTCATTTACATAGAGACAAGCACCAAGTTAATGTCATAGGCCATTGCCTTCTCTGACTAGAATCTTTGCCTGCTCTGGAGCAAACGTTGAGGCTCAATAGCATGAGTAAGTTTGAGTTGGAGTGCTGTGCGTGGGTTGACAGTGTGGGTGTGTGTTCGCACCTCACACAATCCAGCCTATGACCTGGTGCCTGGTGTTTCCGCACAAAAGATCGAATCAGCATTTGACGAGACATCGAAGACAAGTAGTTTCTTCGATGCCGACTGATTGCTTCGTTGTATTTCCACAAATCGATTTCAGGTTTTTGAGACTGCTTTTTGTTAATTCCTACAAAACCTGACTGACTATGCCCAGTTTCGTCGCCATGTGATTAACTGAAGTTACGAATCGACATCTTCAATGTACAGGCACACGTTAACACGTTTCACTCTGAATAAAGACTTCAATGTTATATCCACTAATAAGCATAGTCCGACTCAATTGTACATCAGAGTTAAGTTAACATGGACAAATTTTAGTGAGGACTGCCAGGACCAACTAAACCAAAGGAATACAATTTGCGCAGACGTATAACTGCAGAAGCCGTTTCCGCACTGTTACATTTGTCATTGCGGCATTAAAGGTAAATGCAAGATATCCACTCTACTTGTGGCAACAGACACAATCGCATAATGTACCATATTATGCACCAAAATTGGTGCACAATCATGATGCAGATTAAAACCGTTCTCAGTTGACAACAGAAATTTCGAGCAGGTAGGAATAAGAGCAAAATACCACTTATGCATTTGAGCATTTAATCAAACGAAATTATTTACGCTCCACTCTTATACTCCTAACAATGATGCCTGCATACTAGCAGATAAATAATTTAACGCTATGCACGTATCATTATAGTACAACTCAAGGAAGAGTTGCGTAACTTCCAAACGCAATTGTTATCATCCCCATCAGTAAGTATTACAAATACGCGTGAATTGCACATGAATGCAAATTTTCAAGTAAATATATAACTCTCGCAACAGTACATTCAATTAAAACTGAAATCACTCACATGAGCGCTGTTAGTCATGCTGCTTCATTGCAGGTTCCTCCTCCGTCTTCGAAGCATCGTGCTTCCACTTAGTACTTTCAGTGAACTACCTTGAAGCATTCACCTCCCAACGCTACGTGTTATCCACTGGATCCACTCTCTATCATCGCAGAAGCAGTGCTTGTCACTGCCAACTACATACGTCGGAGACAATGAGCCCCTGCACCAGCTTCGATTCTGACATCCAAATGTGCAATGAATTGGCACAGATGGAAGCAGACAGAATGCCGCTGACAGATTCTCGTGTGATGACTGCATTTCCGTCTATTGCAAAATTAGCCATGAAGGTGCTTGCAAACACGACGACAAAAAATGACACCGGATTACACAACACAGAGGCATTGTCGTCAGAAAAACACGGACTTACCAGAAGATATGAGCTGCAGTTTTAGGAGGGCAATGAGAGTCTTGCATGCACAAATTGACATACATCAAAGTATCTAGGCAGTTAGTTGGGTAACCCATTTCATATCACTGATATACGGCCTGCACTATTCACCACCAAACATGGCCAATTTCAAGGAGTCTCAGACCTTGACTTCGTCACTGACACCAACTCCCTCAACAAGACGTCTCTAAGCTTGCACATGAGAACACACTCACTTGATTCACGGCTGTCTTCTGACTGCTGCTCTCCATTGATCTCAACTCCCAATACTCTATCAGCATACCAGCATTTTCCACAATTCATAATTTGCAGCCAAAATGCCCACACACCCTTGAAACCAGCCTATTGATTGTCGCCTGCGTTCACACTCAAAACGCGACTTGCTTCCACTCGGAGTTAACCACAACACAAGGATATAATCCAACAAACCATCTCTCAAGGCAACTCCACTTCCATCCTCTCTTCCTGCTCCCTCACGATACACGCGATACACCACATCCTCGACTCACACAAACACGCACACACACGAAATCACTTCTGTCCACTGACTGAATAAGTGCCTCTGTCCTTCCTCGTCGCCCTCCTCTTTTCCTGCTCTCCCGATTTTGCGTGCATTTCACCGGTCGCTTTAACGACAACTAACGAGCATTCAAACAGCTGACACATCGTAGAAAGTGGCAGTTCAAAATTCCGTTACTTCATTCCAGGCGCGAGAATGCACATACTTTATCAGGTGTCAATAGACCCAGTGTC